TTTTCTTTCTTTTATTACTTTTTTAACGGTCCGTGATCTACCCGCACCACACTCACGATCGACCGGTCGATCGCGATCGACTGGTGTGCGACCACTGCGTATACAGAGATCAGTGGCGTAACTATCGACGGTGCAGCCGGTGCAACGCAGCCGGCCATGGGCCCATGCAAAAAAAAAATGTGGGGCCCAAATGGCATTGACCGGTTCACGCAGTCTTCAAAGTAACCATGCAACCTAAATTACTTTTTAATTTGTCTGTCCAATGACCTTGCTCCCTTTCATGACATGTGATACCTTGCGTGACGAGCGAACCGTTAATCAACCTGTACTGTACTGTAGCTAGCAGCAGCAAGTTCGGCAGCATTATAAAAAATGTAATAGCTTAGCTATTACATTTTTTATAATGCTGCCGAACTTGCTGCTGCTAGCTACAGTACAGTACAGGTTGATTAACGGTTCGCTCGTCACGCAAGGTATCACATGNTCAGAAGTCCTTCTGTTTTTTAAAGCTGCGACCAGCAGCTAGTACAAGTCACTGTCGGTGTCACATGTACTGGGGGGGAGGTGTAGTCTACGTGATACGCTGGTATACGCCGTATACCCACTAGAAAATGCCAGTGATTTCCGTATACCCTCTTAAAAATGAGCGATATCATCGCTCATTTTTAAGAGGGTATACGGAAATCACTGGCATTTTCTAGTGGGTATACGGCGTATACCAGCGTATCACGTAGACTACACCTCCCCCCCAGTANGACTTTGTTGACGTCATTTATAGCCAGTGTGTTGCCTGTATCTGTGGACTTGTACATACAGAAGTAGTCTGATACAATATTTACAGTTTGAAAGGGTGTTAAATGAAATTTGGTGATGATTAATGTTTTTTGTGTTAAAACAGGACCGGTCAAATTTGACCGCAAACACAACACAACATATAACCAAAGCCACCGCACATTTTTCTTCATGGGTAATGTATTTTTAATCTTCCTTGTAAAAGAGTCTTGAATGCAAAGTGAATTTTACCAATAAGTGTCTGGGCTTGTTAATATTCTTGGCGGCATACTTTACAGGGTAACAAAAATTAATAAATTCACGACTTTTAATAATAAGACCAAATGTGTGCCTTATAAGCTGAGAACTCAAACACTTATACGGTACATCATAACCAGTTATATACTGTAGGGCTTTCCTGTGTTATACATGTTCATTGGGAGAGAAGCTGGAAAATGAAATGATCATAATAACTTGTTTGTAATGCCATGTGGAAATTATACCAATTGCACACACCTAGTGTACACAATGAACACAGCTGCTTGATTAAACTACTGTTCTTATAAAAGGCATGAGTCAACACAAGTCTTAATCAACATCCCTTAAGTCAACGTTGGCTACAGTGCACCTACTGCACAGCATAAGCCTAAATCTGACTAAAATGCTTATTGTTCAGTATTCCGAGAGATACTGAAACGTGTATACCCAGCCTAGAACATAGTGGTTTCAGACATTTTCAGAATTCCGATTTGTGGTAATGTCATCTATGACATTAATGGAACCACGCATGATAATTGAGTGAATACAACGACTGAAATTGAAGCTGAAGGCCCACCCCAGCTAGACATTTTTGGTTCTAAAAACATTCTGAGAATATTACCATTCATTGTTCTAGGAATGTGTTCAGCGGGAAGTTTTAGTTTGGTTCCAAGAATGTTCTTCTGAAAGGTAGGATAACGTTCTATAAAAACATTCTTAAAATGTTTGGTTATAACTTTCTTAAGATGTTTTTGAAACATTGTTATAACATTATGCCCTACCATTCTTAAAACGCTTTCAGCNTAATCATCACCAAATTTCATTTAACACCCTTTCAAACTATAAATATTGTATCAGACTACTGGTATTCATGAAAAACTGCAGTAAATATACAAAGAATAGACACTGAACATGTATTGCGTGTGCCTGGTGTGATCCATGTGGGGGGATGGGCACATAAGGGGGGGGACACATCTAGTGTGTGTGTGTGTGTGTGTGTGTGTGTGTGTGTGTGTGTGTGTGTGTGTGTGTGTGTGTGTGTGTGCGTGTTTGATCTGATCCGGTTGGTTACTAATTCCTTTTCTTTATGGCGGACCATGGGTGTTACAAAGTTGACTAAATCATCCAAAATTCAATGAAAGTGGTGATCAGCTATTTTATATGTTCAAATGTCTGCCGTGAAGGATATCATAAAGCCTTAATGCAATCGAATATAAAACAAAAAAGTTATGATTGATGAAAGTAGTAAAACGGTCAGATTTGCCCCGAACACAACAGGAGGGTTAACACACGTTTTGAACCTGCCTGCATTTCATCCAGAGCGTTATTTGTACATAAAAATAACATGACAACACTCATTAAAAGTCACTTTTTAGAATGTCTACAATTGGATACAAAATCCATTCCTTTCCTTTTGGTGTGCCTATTTCAGATGAGGAATCCAGTTAAAACAGTGTATTGAGTTTCTCTCAGACAGCTGAGAACCACCTCATTAGCACACAAATGCATCTGGGTATTACAGCTATCATTCTAAGGGATAATCATTTCTGGAACAGAGTTAAAGTGGTCATAGCTATTTAAAGGCCAGCCTAATCACAACCCCACATTCCATCACTAAAGCTTAATGTTTAACCAAAGAATGTTGTTTGGGTAATTTCTTATTGAATATTCATTCACTTCAATAAGAAATTACACCATGGCTCTAACACAGAGTGATTGTGTGTTCTTAGCATTAAAAAAAGTCTTATTACAACATGAATAAGCCTGGTTGGTCTTCTACTAACACCCTGAAGAAATCAATATTCCGTCTCAATCAATGAGGAAACTGATCACTGTGGAAGAGTCTTTTAGGCAGACTGCTCACATAAGTTCCTGACAGCTAGACAGAAAACAGAGTTGCCTCAAACTCCAGCCAAAAAGCCAAATTACCTTCAGTATAATTCCCAGAGTTCCTCCTACGGGAAGGTGCGGGCTGCCATGGACACAGTGAGTTACCTGGGCGTGTCGAGTGCACGCAGACTGGAGTTTCGACACTTCTCTCGCGCTAGCCAGGTTGTTGTCACTCTACTTTTGATGGTGAAGTTTTAACAAGAACACGGAGGACTAACACAAAGAAAGCGATACAAATGAGGATAATGGGGCATCAGCTGATCCAAGAGCAAACGTAAGTTGCCTTTTTACCTCCTGATTATGTTAGTAGCCTATTATTAAGAAATATTCTAATGGATTTTTTGGATAGGTAATGTTAGCTGCACTCAGAAAAAACACCGGGCCTTTTTTTTATTTAGGATAACGTATGGCTTTATTCCCATGCCAATTAAACATCTAAAGCTCACTCAACTGTTCTGAATTTAACATACAATTAACAATAGTTGTTTATTTACCTCCTAAAGTGTTACTAATAACTCCATATAAATGTGACTATTGTGATAGATTTGGAGTAACAGCTGCATTATCATTTCAAAGTATATAATAATGCTTTTCATATGTTTTGCCAACCAAGCACAATGGTCATTTAGTTTATATTCTGATTCTGATTCTGATTCTGATATACTTTGGAGAAGAAAATGCTTTATCCCTGGCATATTTCTGTTGTTTACAGCCATAGTGACTGCATGTGAGACTTCTAGTTAATATGTCCCTATCCTATTATGTTTCTTTCACTGTAAATGCATCATCATAATTGACAACAATTTCGACAAGTCCCTGCAGAACATTGGCTGCAGAATAATTTCTATAGAGACAGTCACTCAGTAATTAATTGTTTCCTGTACATTTGTTATAAGCTCTAATCTCGCCTATATGTGTGACTCAGATCATGACTGCACCCCAAACCGACTGAGAGATCCTTGACCAAAGATGCAACCAGGAGGTCCACCCGCTCCACCACCACCACCGCCACCACCACCACCACCACCGCCTCCACCTCCACCTCCTCCACCTCCAGCCTTTGGCCTCCCCCCATCACTACATGGCTTTGGCCTTAATGCCAAGGGAGCACACCGGCGCTCCAGGATGCGCAATTTTAACTGGGAAACCCTCCCCAAACACAGTGTGGAAGGAAAACACAACATCTGGACAGCAGATAAGACTGATGGGGAATATGAGCTGGACACTGAACACATGGAGGAGCTGTTCAGCCGCAAGCAGGACCAGCAACAAGTCAAGGCCCTGAACCGCCAGAGCCTGAGGGGCCAGCCAAATTCTGCCTCAGGAGGGGTAATGGTGAGTTCTCCAAACACAGAAAACAGGGGGTACATTTGGATGAATCAGTTGCCCCCAAGAGTTTAAAGCTATAGATTGAAATGTTTGCTATTTTTTGCTCAGTGTAATTCTGAGATATGGAGACAACTTCATTGACCTGGATTTATTTTTTGTTTTCTTTGCATGCAGTTTAGAGCTAAAACATAAAATCAGTACAGTACACTCTCCATTTTATGTTGATGTCCTCTGCTAAGCTTCTTCTCCATGCGACAGGAATTGGAACATAGTGACATTTTTGACACTTCACTTTTTAAAATCTTCTCCTTTTAAGAGTACAAAAACAAAGTATTTATAGATTGAATTGCAAAAGAGTATTAAGTAATATAATGTGTTGTGTGTTTTGATGTGGAATCACTCAATACAAGGGTGGAGTCTCACCATTCTTCATATCTGTTTGCTAAAGGAAGGTATAAATGTGTCATCCAACAGCTCTATTCTGTTTAGTAACCTCGTGCTCTGTGTTTGAGCTTCTGGAAATAATATGTATTGCCATTCAGTTAAAGTCTTAAACCAAAACATATCTATTTATAACCTCTATTTACGTTTTAGAACAAACATGGCTGTTAGTCTGACAAAGTAGATTAAAATATGTTACTAAACCTTAACTTTGACCTATGTCCCATTATTCAAGAGAGACACTGAGAATATGTATCACTGATGCAAAATTGTATATTTGCTCTGATTGTTCAATACAATCAACTCAAATAATCCTTAACCTTTGGAATCAACTATCTGTTTAGAAAACTAAGGGTATCTGTGATAAAAAAAAAAGACTTTGCTCAAGCCAATAGTGAAATATCTTAGCGACTGACAAGCTGATTTATCCAGGTTTTTGTCTGTATCCATTCCCAGGTTTCCATCCTCTGCTCCAAAAGAAGCATGAACATTGGAATTTTCCTGAAGCAATTCAAGCGGTGAGTCAGTGTTACTACTCATAAGGTGTGATGGGATTTTGCACAAAAAACTTGTCATGTCCCAATGTTCAACAACACAGGATGAGGCATAGAGAGTCTGCAACATACTCACAAACCTTACACATTCTGACATGTCCTGACAGGCCTGATCTAGACTGTTCTACAGCTCCAACAGGTTACCTCCCGGGTAATCCGCAGATCAATTACTCGGAGGTATTATGAATGTATTGCCTAAGGTTATTTGGCATACGCAACAAATCCAGCAGGAAGTGGAAACAATACCATAAAACCTTTAATGATGCACTCAAACCTTTGTCAGCCAATTCAAAATCAAGTCATCTAACTTTAGTACTACTGTCTACTAATATTGCGCCAAACATTTCCATATCCTTTTTATTTTTCTCTGTTACAAATATGTTTCTTGTAAAAGCATATTCCATCATTCCTATGTCCTATGCAGCACATGTTTTTTTGAGGATTGACATCATGAGGTTTGCTATTCAGCAAAGCTATTTGAGCATGTAGGGGCTTGTTGAAGTCAGCAGCAAAACAGCAGCAAAGTGTGGTATAAACTTAGACACATGCACTTCTCATAATAAGTCCTAACCATAAACAAACAATCATAATTTCTGAGTCTGAACCTTATGTGTCTTTCCATCTTACTCCACAGGACTGTAAAAGACATGATTGAAGAAATTAAATCAGGAAGTAGTCTCACTTTTGGTCCTGGAAAACTGAAGGAGCTCTGCAAGCTGCTGCCAGATGAAGGGGAGGTACTTGTGACAGCTGCTTTTACTTTTGTCATGTTTGTAATGCGTTTTGTTGATTTAACAACTTTGTAGCTGTTAGAAAGCAAGCTGGTTTTAAGTTTTGTGCTTGCCTGGTTTTTGCAGAAGAAGCAGCTGGTCGGTTTTAAAGGTGACCCCTCTGCTCTCCCTGACGCAGATCTGCTAATGATAATGCTAGTCAAGATTCCCAGGTGAGCTACCTGCATGTCATCCCATGTATTGCGTGTTAAATTTCAATAGTACTTCACTTATGATGGAAACCTTGTGTCTGTAGCTATGAAGAGCGTCTCAGCAGCTTGGTGCTCAAAGAGGAACTTTTCCCCCTCATGGATGAAATGAAAAACTTCATCAGCACTTTGACAGCAGCTGGAAATGGTATCATTGTCTTCCTGGATCTTTTATAAATAAGGCTGATATCAGATTTTAGACAGAAAGAGCTGTAATCCCATTTAGACATCACTATGTGTGTCTTCTTTTAGAGCTCTTGGAGTCGGAACACCTCCATTCCGTCATTCGCCTGGTGCTGAAGACTGGAAATTACATGAATGCTGTGAGTGTATAATAAAGTGCTGTCTTTCATGTCTTTTGTTTTTGTTTGTGCATCTATAATTAATTTGTTTATTCACAGGGTGGCTATGCAGGCAGTGCCATTGGATTCAGAATGGCTTCTTTGTTGAAGTTAGCAGACACTAAAGCAAACAAACCAGGAATGAATCTTATGCATTATGTAGTGATAGTAAGTTCCAAAGTACTTTAATTTGTTTGCAATGTAGAGTCAGTTTTACTAATCTGGTGATATTTTTGTTAAATTTGAATTTGATCCATGTTTGATCCATGTTTTTATATTAAACACAGCAAGCCCAGAAGTCAGACGGGGACCTGCTTAATTTTGCAGACCAACTCACACAAATTGAAGCTGCATCAAGGTAAACAATCTTACTAACAGACGTTCAGCATTTTCAACCCTTTTTTTATTTTCTGTATCATCAGAGTGTATATATATATATTTTTTTTTTCTTAGACTGAATAAAGGTGAAATAGAAGCAGAGTATGAAAAACAGGTAAAAAGAGTGCAAGATGCCAAAACGGACACCCTGAAGCAAGAAGACCTAAAAGCTCAGATGGATGATTTTCTAAAGGTGAGGAAGCCTTGTTGAGGAATGTGGCCAGGTTTGTCGAAGTTCAGTGGTGATAGCATGTTCTAATGTTTTTATATTTATCTTTTAGGGGGCTGAGGTCTGCTTAACTGAAATGGAGACCGACCTTCAGGAACTACAGTCAGTGAGTGACTCTGTGGCGGACTACTTCTGTGAAAACCCAGAGAAGTTCAAACTAGAGGAGTGTTGCTCCATTTTCCACTCCTTTTGTGAGAAATTCATGCGGGCCATGCAGGTAAGCCTGTGTATTGGCATGTTTTCTTTAGCTGAATTATAAAAAAAATCTGTTTGATTATTAACTTTGTAATTATCTGCAGGAAAATAAGGCTCGAGAGGGGGCAGAGGTGAAGCGGCGACACAGAGAAAGATTGCAGAATGCTGTCAAACGAAGGTCAACAGCTACCTGCTCCACTAGAGACAAAGAAATGGAAGGAATTCAATTGCAATCTGTCCTACAAAACTTTCTCACCAGTCGTGTCTCTCGGAGGAGACTCGGGAGACCCTCATCTGCTTATGGAAGCCCGACGAGCAGCAGTCCTAACGATGGGAGTCTATCTGAAATTAACCCTCAGGCAAACCTCCCCACTGGAATTCAAAAAAGAATAGGCTCTGTTAAAGCTACGGACATGGACAGAAAACAGTGGAGTTCAGCAGTTGAACTCTCAGAGAACCCTCCACAAAAGAAAACTCAAACCAATAGCGAGGACAACAAGGCAAAAGGCGACATTTCTAATGAACAAGAGGTGAACACTTTGAGTAAAGAGGACTCCAGAGGTCTCACACAGCCAGCCAGCAGGACCACCAGCGTTTCCTCCTCAGGCAGACTTTTCTCCACCACCACTGATGACAGTGAGGAAGACCTACACGATAATAACGAAGAGGAGGCCCAAAGATTGCGGGAAGCATCTAAAAAGGTTTTGCGCTTTCAGAAAAGCCGTAGCAGTGTCTCATCCGATTCTTTTGAAAATCTGAAATCTCCTGGTCCAAAAGGCACATTGACTCGTCAACGCACCTTTGATGAGGACACAGAGAGGTATCCTGGAGACCCCACCAATGAGGATTTAGTTAGACTTTTGCTAAATCCTCAGTCTTTCACAAAATGTGACCTTGGCCGACGCCATACTCTACCTTCTAAAGTTCCTAAAACTGAGGAAGAGGAAGCTAAACTGTGTCCCAAGCCACCAGTAAGATCTCCTTCTGCTGCAAGAGAAAAAGGGACACTGCCAGCAGAAGGGTCTGAACAAAATCCTTCAAATCAAGTGTTTGACTTTCCCAATTCATCTCAGAGCTTTAAGAACTCTGGTTCTAAAGACCAGCATTCTCCGTCAGCAGAAAAGAAAAGCAAGCTAAATGTTTCTGTAACCCATGTTCCAGATGCTGGACATGAGGAGCAAATCAAAGTGGACAAATCAATGGAGCCGTCAGGGAACCCCTTGCAGAGAAATAGTGAAACCCCCACTAACAGTGCATGGACAAAGACTGAAAACTCTGGACTATTTTTTGGCTTTTTAAAACGCCTTGGAGATATGAGCAAACTGCAGACTAGCAAAGAAACTGTCCATAAGGGCAATGATTCTAGTGTATAGGCATTGAGATGTATCAAACGTAAGGTCAGGAAAACACAAGTAGCTTTAGTGTAACTTTAATGACCTCATCATGGTGATTGTGTTATATTTAATGTTAATGTTGTGAATCGATAATGAGGTCTTTAAAGAGACAGAGAGATGTTTCTATGAAAGTGGTGGGAGTAGAGGATGTTTTTGTTGAGGAAAGGCAATTGGCATGTTGTACCACTAGATGGCAGAAAGTGACAGTAACATGGGACATTGTTGCTAAGGAAATAAGGGTGTTGTTGATTTCCAGGCAATCTGTACATTGTAACAAAAGAATGATGGGCACACTGTAAACCATTTCCCTATTTTGTATCAATAATATGAACATTAGATTGACAGTAAGGTGTTGTCCTTATCAGTTGGATAAATGGGAGAATATTTAAAGTGTGTGTGTGTGTGTGTGTCCTTTGTCTGGATTACAATGTAAAACCTTGCAGTATGTATTGAGAAAGCTCGTGGACGTTTAGTGAGGGAGCATAAAGAAATGTGACTGTTTGTACAATCTTGGCTTGATTCTTATTTTTGATATTTTGATACATTACTTATTGTACTGTATGCTTGAATTTAATACTGTTTTTCAGTTTTGCAATCATTCAATTATTTGCTTTTTGCTTTTTTTTTTTCCTTCTCTGTTGCTGTCACATAATCACATCAAAAATGCAGTTCAGGATGCTTTCAGGGTCATTCACAATTTAAACATTGTTTTGAGCTGAAATGGGTCAGTGTTACATAGGCAACCTGTATGTATGCAGAGCTGTACCATGGACTGTCAGTGGCAAAGTGAAGGGTGCTGATCTCAAATGAACTTGAGAACAGATTACTGTGGTTGAAGGGCCAACACCCGGTTTCTTATTATGAAGGAAGGGAATCAGCCTTGCTTCATTTACCGCTGTGCACTGCTTGTGGCAAAGCCAGGCTATGACCCCAATATCTGGAGCAGGTACAGAGGGGTCGTTGAGGCCACAGCCTGGGCCAATACATCTAGGATTACAAAATGTAAGTTCAACGTTGTCCAGCTGTCTGACTGAAGTGTACCAATGAGGTAATTACATCTCTTTGAACGTTTTTGTTATAATCTAAACAGCAACTGGAGTGATCTGAATGTGTTCTGTATTTATTTGCAATTTAATATATTTTATTTGACTGATATGGATAGCCATCAACATTTCCGAGAATCATTGGTGTTGTCACTGAATCGTGACTTGTTACAGTGTTGTTTTGTAATTGTACCTCTAATCATTAAGAGTGTCAAATAAATATGTATTAATACCTGTTTTAGTGTATAAGAGAATCACTCAATTGTAAAGCAATATACTTCCCACACATTTGACATTTATAGTCACAGCTCTACAATATCTTTGATATGTGAATTGATAAGTCCGACAAGTTAATGGGCAGTCACTTTAGGCTCATCTTATGTCTTTCCATTACAACCTCATATGATGTGCTGGATTTGTGTACTCAGTATAAGAATATAAAGCATTTTCCCACTCAACAATTAATTAGCCATGTAACACCTTGCCGTGTAGGGCCTGATCAAATATTATGGAGCAACCACCACTTTGATTATTTATGTTCTTACATAATTGTTTTTATCCACCCACTGACAAGCTGTCTATGATTTGATTGTATTATACAATCTATGTATCTGGTTAGTCAAGGAACTGGCAGTAATAAATATTTCCAGTCAGCCATAAAGATTTTATTTTTTAAAAGGAGAGCCTATTGAATAAAAACAATAACAATGTATTGTACAATAATATTCTAATTATTTATCTTATTATAAACAGATGTGTGAATAACATTAAATTCTGCCGTCTTCAGTATGTTACAAACCATGCTATTAGTTATTTTGACGGTATGAGTGTTGGCAGTGAGGCTTCTATGGTGTGGTTTGTGTGACCTGCTCACTGCTGCTGCTGCCAGACTGCAACAGCCATCTTGACTACATGGAAGCAGTTTCCATGGCAACTCCACATTGCAGAATAAAACCCAGAGATGAATGTGTTTGCCTCTCACACCAAGCCCCACCCCCAACAAACTCCCCACCGCCTGCACCACAACAGCAGTCTCACACAGTGCACCCACATTACAACACATTGCCATATTCTTTTCAATTATCCACTTCTCTCTATAGTCCTTCTCATTAATTTTCACTTAGAGCGTCTATTTACCCCTCCCCCACTGTCCTACAAATAAACCTTTAGAGTGAAACATCCATTGCTATGTTCTCTAAAAAACACTTTAGGTGAACATCTCAATTTCTCCTGAGTACACCCAGTCCATATTATCACATGTGTCTATGGACTCATCAGGGGCGAACCCCCTGCTGATACCACCAGAATAACTGTCATCCACAGCAGAACAAACAGCACTCCCACTGCCTTGAATTTAGCAATTGACCTATTATGGGTAAAACAATACAAGAAACTAGTGCCTCCTAAGGCAAGATCCTAGAAATTATTAGATAAATACTGTAAAACTGTTGACCAAAAGCCAGTTTCAGGATTGTTGCCTGATCATTTAATTGAACATTATATTCCTTGTGTCTTTGTACTCTAACACCTCTTTGCACCCTATGAATTTATAGCTTAAAGGAAATAAACCGCATCCTTTGTCCTTTTATGGGAACTGGGCGGTACCTAAAGAGGCCACACCCCTTTGCACCAGACAGACTGAATCCCTCAGTCAATTCCCGAGATTTCATTTTTCTTTTTGCATATTCCCTACCCCCTCCGTATGCTATTGGGTTCTTGGACTCCTCCCATCAGCCATCCGACCAATGCTGCATGTCAGCCCCTCCCCTGATCTCCTCCCTTCCCTTATCCTCTTCCTTACTATCCCCTTCTTCTCCCAGACAGACCCTGCCCTTTCCTTTCTGTCGCCCGGTCTGTGGATTTTGTTGTAGGTTCTGGGACTGCTGACAATGGGAAGCCTTCTCCACGGCCTGCAATGCTGACACCCCTCACCCTCCTGCTGCGTATCATTGTGAGTACAATCTAGCTTATTTTTATCATGTCGCATTTATGCTTTCTCATCTTGTTTGTGCCGTGAGTCCTAAATAATACAAAGACTGGGATGAGATCAGATAAATAATTGATTACTGCATCTCATCCTGCTTCACATATCAAATGTTGTGATAGGATATTTGCTACACCCATCTGTCATCCAAAAGGAACATCATTGTGTTTCAGCCTCGTTTTGAGCAACTGTTGCACTAAAACACTCCTCTGCTGTAATTCTTTATGCTTCCTCCACCAGCCCACACACACTTCTCCATTTTAGCTCCCAGGCAGCCCGGTTAGGAGCAGGTGGGCATCTGTGCTGCAGTCTGGGCTGGGCTCTCACACATACATGCTCTTTTGTTTGGAGGATTAGTGAGCTGTCGTTAGTTTTCTGATCTGAATATATATGGGCTGTGTCGCTTGGGCAGCTAATGTGAGCCACATGTGTCAGCAGCGTATTGTTTGCTTATGTCATTCTGTGAGTCCTTGTACTGCAGCAACAGCCGATGCATCATTTTCACACCTCTGCCCAGGACTGATCAGATGCTCCAGTGGTTTCTTATTGATTGGTCTTTTGTTCTGGGATATCTTTGTTTGTAAATCGATCTCCAAAAGTCGCATGCTAGATGAGTGCCGCTGCTGAATGCTGGTTTCCTGCACTGGGTCACAGGGAGGCTGCACACGGCCTTGGATGCTGTGCCTCAGGGAAGATGCTTAGCAGGGTTACTTCAGGGTTTCACACAGTTTGTATAAATAGTCTTGGAGATTATGTACAGATTTGTTTAGGTAAACAGGTCTTGCAGCATGTGTTACACACAAAGGTGCTATGTTGAACGCAGCAGAATACTTTGAATTGTTTCATGACATCTTCCTACAACACTATTGTGCCATTGTAAGGAAGATAGTTTAAATCTTGGCTAAGATGGAACTATATGCAGCTTTGTACATAGGCATGTGGTTGTAATGAAGATGTTGCTGAACCCTACTTGTTGTCAACAAAAGTTTGGAGTGCACCCAGGCAAAAGAGAAGGCAGCTTAATAAAGTTAATCTCCAGTTAAATAAATGTATTGCCTGAACTGGGTTTTTTTTTCTTCCCCTGTGCGCTGATTTAATTTATTAGGGTTATCCTTTACATCTGTCTTTTTCTTAAAATAAAGATGGGTAAAGGTCAGACAATTGCTGTTCACAAAAGCATCCTATGGTACATTTGGTCATTTTTACATCTATTTATTTTTTTAATTACTTCCTGACCCATTTTCAGACTAGGAACTACACATTTATATTGACTTCAACCGATTGTATTCTGCTCATTATACTGTATGTATTGTAGGTCTCACTAAAGATTGATCAAAGCCAATTGTTAGACTTTAATTGTCCTTCCCTTTTAAGACGGATTTTCCAGAACCATATTTTTAGACTTGGCTATTTTACAAGTCAGCACTTTGACTGGTTGGGGGCATATTTTTTAAGTAATGTACGTGAGGTCTCAAAAGTATAACATAACCTCATAAAAAATGTTATCGCATCAAAGATGATATAACATGCATAATGAATATTAGATGGGAGTACATTTACAGTCCAAGCCATCCATCAGTCGATTTTAGGATTAAAGCTTCACCATCATTGCACAAGGACGTACAGGGTTGATTCTTGTTTTATTTGTATATTGTTTCTATTGTACTTAAATACCATCCTTATTTTGAATGAACAATGTAGACAAAACATCTTAAAATCCACATGATGCAGTGCTTCCGGCCAAGACAAAATATTTTTTTTTTTTAAAGGTGTAACCTGTCAAACATGTGACAGACAACCCTTTATTAATTATAGCTTGACTATTGAGTTTTATGAAGTAAACTAAACACAACACAAATCTCTGCTGTTGCTCAGACCATTCAGCACTGTTGCAGTACGTTTATTAAAAAAAGACATTTGTGTTGCTCAACCAGTTTATCATTCATAATGAACATCCATTTGTCATTGGCAATTATTTTTAGAACACAATGTCTTCTGGGAATCAAATCACAGAGCAAACCAATGGCAGTGTATTCAGACAGGATAACATGTTAAATACTGTACATCCTGTTTCTACCTCACTAGTCCTTACTGCAGGTGGATAAGGGTTGGATGCAGGGGCTTGTGCACTGATGGACCTTTTTATAAACACCTGCAGTGCAAGTTGTGCCTACAGACTCCCTGCCTGCATGCTGCAATGCCTTCTGCAACTCTTTATAAAAGTGGGAGGGACACAAATGTCTCCTGACTCCCTTTTTGTGTCACTGTTGATTAAAAGCGCTGCTAAATAATGTGCTTGACATGATGTGGTCACTTTCTCTCATTAGGTGTCAGATCACATCAATCTAATTTCTGCAGACAAAGGTACATAATAGACCTCTTCAATGCTAGTCTTTTGAAGTAAAGTAACCAATTGCGCCATTGGCATAGTTTTGTTATTATTTACTTGTTGTAATGCACGCACTTAGTCAGCAATGTTTGGCCAGACCTTTGTCATATTTTAAGATATATCCCTATGCACCCAGACTGAGTCATTCAATTTAAATGCAAACACTGGGCCCAGTTGTGGATTAGATGAGCTCCATCAATAGAAAATTAACATGAAACAGCAGTTGCTCAAGTAGTTGTGTCTTATACATGAAGTCCACAGAAGTTTCCTTTCATCATGTGATCCCAATATCCACTCTTGACAGAGACTGATGCATTGAGACAGATGAAGTGTAAGGGGGGCTTGTTAGTTTGAGTAGCAGGTTTTTTGTGTTGAATAATGATTGATGAGTCATCATATATAGAGCCAGGCACCTTCACTGGCCCCCAAACAGCCCCTTAACACCCAAAACACAGAAAGGTAAATTCAGAAATGGTATTCTACAGAGATTTTGTTCTCAGGTGTGTCTCAGCCTTGTTGCTCTAAAAGGCAAAAGGGTTATTTGGATACAAATGGGAAAATGTGTCACGCTTGACTGAATTTGATTTGATCAGGATTCGTTTTCATTTGTTTATTACTTTGGTGCCTATGGGAAACATAAAAAGAAGCCACATTTGTAATGCTTTTTAGAGATGCAGTTAATGAATAGTAAATATTTCCCTCTTCTTCTCTCAGTGAACACTATTTCTTTGTTAGTATCTACATAGTTTTAAAAAATGTCACCAAATCAATTCTAATCAGTAATCAGGAGTTTATTCAAACTGAGATCTCTGCTCTTTCTGCTCAGGCCGTGTATTGGCAGGAACAATTAATGCATGATGACACATGCGCAGCGACACAACAGATGTGGATGGAAACATAAACTTAAGTCTATATTTAAACCAAATCTTGACAGCACATCGTCCAGGGCCAACACTTCCTACTTCAGGTCACTAGACTTTAGCCCCTGTTTACCGGGACAGCACACAGCTGACTGCTGAAAGAAATGGTTGGAAAAGTATTTAGTCTGAAGCTCTCTCTGCTGTGACACATAACACATATCACAGCATTACTAAAACGATTTCCAAACAATGGTGCAGATAATCTAACACTGGTTCATACAAAATTGTAAACTGAAACATGAACTTAAACACTGAATGCAGTCTGAAGAAAAGGTGCTCACGTCTTACTCAAACATGGGAAAAGGAAGGGAAGGGGAAAACACTTTGTATAGCACTTGAAGTGCAAACATCCTGAGTAGTCACAGTTTCGTTCCTCAGGTTTCAGTGGGATCCTATCACAATTATATGACTGTAGTAGACATGCAATGGACAGGGTAAAAACAGTTATTGGAAAGACATCGGATTATTTTGTTTAACTTTGCATGCATTTGCTGTATTCTGATATGTAGAGATACCAGACAATCAAACTCAGTACACTATTTTGTTCTATTAGCCACCTCTTCAAGATCTATGCCAATGAGATATCTATCACCACCCCAGTACAACTTAGTGAATGGAATTTTTTATTTGTTGTGGTCAAAGCACGGAACAAAATCAATATGGCATCTTATTTATCTAACCATGTTCAAGCAGAAAAATAATACAAAGTTGTTTGTTCCAAAGCGTTTCCACCTTGAACTATTCTCTACCAAAATGTTTGAAAACAAATAGTGAATATTATCCTGTGGATTATTTATTTCCATGAACTGTACTCTAAATGAAAATACATGATCAATTATTCATAGATTATGTTCTCCATCACACTGTGGGAGTGACCTGATTTGACAAAGGGTACATATTTTCTACAGATTCTTATATAATAGGTCTCATAAATAATTAAAAGAAAAAACTATTGGTGAAATAATTGTTACATCATAGTCATTTGGGTTGAGTCTGGTTGGGAATTACTCATTCCGTCCAATAGTCACAAGGCAAAAAATGTTCTCTTTATTTTAATTGTAATAATTAGCAGAGAAATTGGCATCTCTAAGTTCATTACACACAACTACAAAGTTAAGCAGCATTTTATGGGATAGATAAAGAGCAAGGCATGGCAACCTTCCCTCAAGCTGACTATGCTAAGAGAAATGTTTTCTCTGATTGTAAGCTCATGCCGCCCGAAATCCAATTAAACCGTTCATACTAGATGGGCCTGCCTTCAGGTGAAAGCCGTTTAGCACTTCACCTGGTGGAATCACTTCTTATAGTCTCGTCTATAGACATGCATTGCCAGTCCCTGCTTCACTGGTGGTATAACAGCAGTGGGTAGTGTATTAGTTTGTGTAAGGTGTTTGCTTAAAGCCTTCAGATTTTAATTGACTTGCCCAGAGTCTGTGAGACACAGTAATCCAGATGGCAGACGGGGCCTGACCCTACAGGAGGACATTAAGCCAATTACCTTAATGCAGGGTGAGAGTGGCAAGCTTTGCAGTCAAACAGATGATTGTAAGAACAACAGTGATATTTGGTGGATGTTTTCACAGGCGTCATGTTCCAATGTGACGGATACAGTACAGAGGAAAAACACAGTTAGAAGACTGACCTCGTCTGTATGAAGTGCTGATCATGCAGTTCCTGTGACAGAGCTTTGAAGAGGATGCAGTCACATGATTGCTTCAAACAATCCAGTATACTGCAGATTTAGGTCTCTGGTCTACTGGCAGTGTTACTGTATGTCTCACATTTTTATCAGAGCTATTTTTAATCTAGCTGTCTACTGCCGTTTTATATTTAACAGTTTAAGGAGGATTTGATTGTACTATACATAACTATGATATGCTAGGCTACACTATGATATATAGAACATATGTATGACATGTGTTAAGTTCTATATCCAAACAATCTGCAATCAGAAATTATTTGTAGTATGTTCTTTTTTTTTTTTCTGTTTATAATTCAATACATTTTTGCTCCTATGATCCAGCTCTCCTTTAAGCACAAGCTAGACCCTGAGCTACTGTAAGGGAGAGACTGTTTTAAAGAAAGGTCCTTTTTTCAGCCAAGAGGGGCTGCTGGAAGGCAGGGAGGAAGCGAGAGGGAGGGCGGGGGGCTGTTGCAATACTAAATGCTAAAGGCTAGCCAGCCGAAAAGGGAGGAGCCTGAGGGCTTTGGTTCCTCAAGCTTCCTCCTGATGTCACCGTTCAGCTGCTGCAATTCAGAGTCCATGTGAAGGAAAGGCAGTGCAGGGAGGGGAGGGCTCTTAAAGGGGAGACAAGAGGAGGGGGAGGCAGAGCGGGTCGGGATGGGCTGGCTGTTTGGACACTGAAAGGGCTTGACGGAGCTCCTCAGTCTATAGGCCATGTCGTCACTTGGCAAGAGCAACAATGCCTTAAACAATCCCCAGCTGCAAGACGTCTGTGGCTGAAATCAGGCCCTCTGATGCTATGAGTGCATTTATGTGGTTTGGAGAGAAGAGAAAATGAGAGGACAATAGAGAGAGGGAACATAGATGAAGGGAGGGGAATAGGGGTGAGCTGTGAGCAGATCTGGAATGCCATTGTTGGAGCTCGCCGCTCTGAGTTGCAGCGAGGGACAGCTGCCTCTGAGGCTCGCTCATGTGAGGCAGGCAGCCCAGTTCACTGTGGATTTTAGCCCCTTCTCCGACATGTGGGGCCTGAACCTAGCGAGCTAAGAGTCAAGGGAAGGAACTAGTAGGAATTTAAGGAGTGGCGTTTCAAAGCTTCCTCTTCTTACTCTCAAAGAAAAGGGCCCTAGCTATTTTTGTCAGAGGTCTCAAAAGGCAGAGTGGAGAGTTTTAGCTAGCTGATGTGCAGGCCTGACAGTTAGCCTGATCCCAGGTCAGATTTAGAGAGAAGCTACTGTATGTAGATAAAACCTAAAGGAGAAATTACAAACCCTGGAAAAATGAATGAAAGATGAGGTGAGGTTTTACAGTACATAGAGCTAGTTAATGAGTTTATATTGCCTTCTAATAAAAGGTTTGGGTGTCATGACTTAGCAATAATGACTTATGGATCATGGCTACTAACTGCGATATTCACGCCAAATCAATAGTAAGTCTTTCTCAGCTGAGTGGATATACGTTTTTGTTATGCATCTTTTAGATGTTTGATGTCCTTTTTGTGTTTTGGATGGCATTACATAGGGTGTCCTTATTCTTGTGAACATATGTTTGTTTGCTTGAATCCTTTATCAGATACATAAAACAAAATAATCTATATAATTAATAAAGATAATGTAGCTCAAGTTGTTGATTGGATTCCTGTCTTGCTGACATTGATTATTTATTATTGATTAGTGCTACAAAGTCATGGATATAATCTATTTGTGGTCAATATTAAGCTTTCTGCAGCATTTTTGATTTCAAAACAATGACTTGCTTTTGTCCTCAGTTGTTACAGTAATTCAGCACAGCAGAGCTCCTCATCCCACAGATGATGCACAGACTTCCTTACATTTTTATTTAGGTACCCCTCTTTTAAAACCCATCCATTTGTAATCGAATCTAGTAGTAGAAGTAGATCGCCTCTGATTGCATTCTCAAGGTTATTGGAGGATATTGCATGGCAGACATGGCAACAAGAGCGCCATCCGAAAGTAAGTGAAATTGACAAAGAGCGAGTGGATATTGACAAAGAGCGAGTAGATACTGATAGGCTCTCTCTACAATGTTGTGTCTCAGTTTCCTGTTAAAAAGATGTCGTAGAAGACATAAGATCTCTGAAGGGAAAACATGGTAACAGCGAGCTTAATATATACCAATTTTGTAAAGAGAAATTGATAAAAAGTATTTGTACTGTTACAATAACCACAATTTAAAATCTTTACCAGACCAATGCATGACATATTGTGGATTACATTAGAGGAATACAGGATGATGCTATTTTGTAAAGAAGACGTATCAATCACATGACTGTTTTTGATGTTAATGTAATCCTTTATGTGTTTATGTACAACATGTCATTGGCACACTGAGATAATCTGAGCTTGACCCAGTGATACAATTTCATGTAACAGCAACAACCATCTGAGAGCGAGCAGGCATACACTCATAACCCAGAATTTAACAAAACAGAAGACACAGTGTATGGTAAAATAATGCTAGGAATTATACTAGATACATTTCAGCCTTCATCATATTTATAAATACACGTATACTACGCTTTTAAGACCACTGCAAACGCAGACATGTTGGCTCCTAGACTGCATAGTTGTTCTGCCCCGTGGTGTTACAACACATAAATGTTTTCCTCCACTGCATTAGCTTGTAAGGGTTTGCATTTATAGAGTCAAACAACCTCTGGCTATGCGGGTGTTTGTGAAAAAAGAAGCTCATCCTACTGACACAGTTTAATAAGTGAGGGAAAGCATAAAATACTAGCAGATACAGTGCAGGATTTAGATGAGGTTTTTTATTAACAGCATTACTGTATGACTCATCTCTTCCTTTGCTCCCGCTGAGGGTAAGCAAACACGCCCTCCTCACCCTGTTTGAGCATTTCCTTAAGGCTTTCTTGACCTTTCCCCTGTTTTTCTCTCCCTGTGTGTGCAGGTTAAGTGGTCCCTGATCACCCTTTGAATGTCTGTAACCATGGCCAAGCGTGAGACCGGCAGCACCAGCCCTGTGGTCCGGCAGATAGACAAGCAGTTCCTGGTCTGCAGCATCTGTTTGGACCATTATCACAACCCAAAGGTCCTGCCCTGCCTGCACACCTTCTGCGAGAAGTAAGCTTTAAACCAGTCAATCAAACTTTATTGGTACAACACATTTCATACAAAACAGCTCAAAGGTCTTTACAGGTGACTGACAAACTAATACTTTAATATGAATATGACATTAGAAAGATACAGTAAAACAATTGGTAACTAATAAAAAGCTACATTTAAATTTGAGATGGATTTCAACTTTTTTAGGACAGGATGAACTACGACGGATTTTTTCAATTAAGATAAATACATTTGTTATGAAAATGATTACATAAAAACGAGTGCATCATATTATTTTTGGTATTATTTTTGCCTGCAGTAAGTTATACAACGGTAATGCATTAAAAGGAAGATTTAAGAAAAATCAAACCACTTATGCCAGCTTTTCTCCCATCATGGCTTCTGCTTGATGTAAGACACTAACCACTCTGAGCTGGCAGACAGTATTTTTGGCAAGAAGCAGTTATTTCCACACATGGGACCGATAGTACAGTTATTAAAATCTTCATCTTCCTCTGCGTAGATGTCTACAGAACTACATCCCTCCCCAGTCTTTGACGCTGTCCTGTCCAGTGTGCAGACAGACCTCTATCTTGCCAGAGAAAGGTGTGGCAGCCCTGCAGAACAACTTCTTCATCACAAACCTAATGGAAGTGTTACAACGAGACCCAGAGTGCAGCCGACCTGAGGCCTGTAATGTCCTTGAGTCGGCCAGTGCAGCTACAGCCTGTCAGCCCCTCTCCTGCCCCAACCACGAGGGCAAGGTAAGCTAAAGCAAAAGGGCCAACGGTATTCAATAATCAGTCAGATCTATTAACATAAAAAAATTCTTATGTAAGCAAATATGATGGTTGGTGTTTCATGCTCAACTGCACCATCTGCAGGTGATGGAGTTTTACTGCGAGTCATGTGAAACAGCCATGTGTCTGGAGTGCACAGAAGGGGAACATCGGGAACATGTGACAGTACCTCTGAGGGATGTGCTGGAACAGCATAAGTCAGCGCTAAAGAATCAGCTGGACGCTGTGCGCAACAGGTACGATTTTCATTCCAATGAATTATGTGATTGCATTTGGTAGATCTCGGTAGTAATGGAAAATATGAAGCATGCTAATTTGAAATGTTATCTTTCTTCTGGCAGACTACCTCAGCTGACGGCTGCCATTGACCTTGTAAGTGTGATCTCCAAGCAGCTTACTGAGCGGAAAAATGAGGCAGTGACTGAAATCAGTAACACTTTTGACGAGCTGGAGAAGGCCTTACACCAACGCAAGACTGCCCTCATTACAGAGGTGGAAAACATCTGCAGCACCAAGCAGAAGGTATGTGGTCTTTCTGATGATTCTTTTTTTTGTAAACATCACATTTTAGTACAATTGCAACTGACTATCTCCCTGTGTCTCTTTGGACACTTCCAGGTGCTTCAAGCCCAGCTGACCTCTTTGCTTCAGGGCAAAGAGAACATCCAGAGCAGCTGCAACTTCACAGAGCAGGCCCTGAGCCATGGCAGCGCCACGGAGGTCCTGCTGGTCCAGAAGCAGATGGGTGAGCGGGTCAGTGCCCTGGCGAGACACACCTTTCCTGAGCATCCTCACGAGAATGGACATCTGGAGTGCCAGGTAGAGACGGATGGACTGAAGCGCTCCATTCAGAACCTGGGAGTCCTGATCACCACGGGGACTGTAGGCCACACGAGTGTCGCCACCGGGGAAGGCCTGCGACATGCACTGGTCGGCCAGCACACTTCTGTCACAGTCACCACTAAAGACAAGGATGCAGAACTAGTGAAGACTGGTAATGCCGCTCTGAGGGCAGAGATCATCTCTGCAGATGGAGCGTGCACTGAAGCGGAGGTGACGGACAACAAGAACGGCACCTACGAGGTTGGATACACCATCCGCTCAGAGGGAGAGTTCACCTTCTCTTTGCTGCTGTACGAACAGCCTGTGAGGGGGAGTCCGTACCGTCTGCGTGCCGTCAAGCCGTCCGATGTCCTGCAGTCACCAGACGATGTGAAGAGAAGAGTGAAGTCCCCGAGCGGGGGAGGGGGTCATGTTCGACAGAAGGCTGTGCGCAGACCCTCCAGCATGTACAGCACCACCAAGAAAAAGGAAAACCCAATAGAGGATGAGCTGATCTACAGAGTGGGTGGGTGATGAAACTGGCTGGATATTAATTATGAGTACTGTCGACTTAGCTGTGGGATGTTTTCCTCTAGAGCACACCGAGTTATATATCTTGATAATTGATGTACCTGATGATGCAGTATTTCATTTAAGACCTCTTTTGTAGCAACATAATTGTTGTCTTATGTTCACACCAAACAAAAACAGAATATTTCTACGAAGTATTGTTAGCAAATTACAGCAGAATTAAGCCTGGTGTATTTTTGATATGACAGGAACAAGAGGGCGAGATAAAGGAGAATTTACCAACCTACAAGGCATCTCTACCGCCAGCAATGGACGGATTGTGGTGGCAGACAGCAACAACCAGTGTATACAGGTCAGTGTCGGAAAAAAAATGGAATGAATCTTTTTTTTTCCATATCGTTGCATCGATTAACTTAGTCTTGTGTCTTATCTGTCGGAGAGAAATAATTGTTTATTTTATTTTTATTACCATGTATCTTAAACCTGTTAAAATGTTATATTTTGCTGCATATACCTGTAAAGTTCTTAACATCTAATCTGAGGGGAATTTCTTGTTCATTTTTAACTTGTGATGTATGCCATTTTGTAAAGCACTTTGAGCTGCATGTGTCGTATGAAAAGTGCTATATAAATAAAGCTTTATTATTATTAAATTGTTCAGGCTTTGGAGTAATAGAAAATTCTCTTTTACTAGGTATTCTCAAATGATGGCCAGTTCAAGATGAGGTTTGGGGTCAGAGGTCGTTCACCGGGGCAGCTGCAGCGCCCCACAGGGGTCACAGTGGACGTGAACGGTGACATAATTGTGGCTGATTACGACAACAGATGGATTAGCATCTTCTCCTCAGATGGAAAGTTCAAGGTAAATGGTTTCAGACAAGAAGAACTGCACACACTTCACACACACTTCACAACTGTTTCTCTGGATGACTCAAGTTTCTCTCCTGTGGCTCTCGCAGAGCAAAATCGGGGCTGGGAGATTGATGGGACCGAAGGGCGTGGCTGTGGATAAGAACGGACATATCATCACGGTTGATAATAAGGCCTGCTGTGTCTTCATATTTCAATCAAATGGGAAGCTGGTGACAAAGTTCGGAGCCAGAGGAACATCAGACCGACACTTTGCAGGTACTGTCTAAATGTATTAAAAAATTGTATTATCATTGAATCGATCTTCTTGCAGGAAGAAAAGATGTACAAATGATGCTCTGGGCATGTGGTTGGGCCAGAATTACAGATTTCCTTCATGCTTTATACTCTAAAGGAATGTCGATTTGAAGAATTTATTAAGATATCAGCATGTTTTTTATCCTCATTTTATTTTTAGACTTGATCTAATGTTAGCATGTATAGCTGCTTGTTTAATTATTTTGTTTAAATATTATAGCCATTGTCCCACAGGTATTGATTCTTTATATTGCATTGATTATCTTATACTGTTAACATGCACCTGATCATCACGGTACAAGGCAGAGCTGCAAAGAGGCAAAAGTTCATAATGCACACTAAAGCATGGAAATAATGGGAAGATTTTCTCCCTGTCTTTTGCTTTTCACTATAATGCTTGGGAGAAAAATCACGTCTTGATTTGCTTGCATTACTGAAGTCCCTCATTTGTACTGCTTCAGTTGTTGACGGCAGTATTTCATTTGGAAATCACCCGTTCTTTCAATTTAATTTCTCACTCTGACTTTTTTCTTTCCTTTTAGAAAAAAGTGGTGCAAACATTGCACTGGAACAAAAGCTTAGTAAATCTGGCCCTGTTTTCAGTAAGTAATGAAGTCACTGTGAATGTAAACTATTCTATGTTCTTTGTACGTGTTTACGCTCTGGTTTCTCACATGTTGTCCCACCTCATCTGTGTGTCCTGTGTGTCCTGTAGTCCAAAAATAGTGGGGAACATCCTGTTGTATAGCAGTGGAGGACTCATCGTTTTTCTCTTTATCTCTCGTTCTTCTCTGCTGCTTTCAGGTCCTCACTTTGTGGCTGTGAATAACAAAAATGAAATTGTGGTAACAGACTTTCACAACCATTCAGTCAAGGTAAGGCTTGTTTCAAGTATGTACGTATAATGACTATTTGAATCAAGTTTACTTCCAAAGGAAAACAGCAAACCTTTTCCTGAGTTCACATCACTTGTGCTGTGTTGTTTTCTATTATTTGTCCCTTTTTTTCTTTTGTACATATTTGTACAATCTTTGACACATTTTGTACAATCTTTGACACATTCCTTCCTGTGTAATTTCTCCTGCAGGTTTACAATGCAGATGGGGAGTTCCTGTTTAAATTTGGCTCCCATGGGGAGGGGAATGGACAGTTTAATGCTCCAACGGGTGTGGCTGTGGATGCCAATGGAAATATCATCGTGGCTGATTGGGGCAACAGTCGGATCCAGGTTAGTTTAAGGAAAAACCTTTTCTCATTTACGTCAGAGACCGACTTTGTAAGTATATAACTAACCTTTTCCTCTGTGCTGTGTAACCAACCAGGTGTTTGACAGCTCAGGGTCCTTCCTGTCCTACATCAACACGACAGCGGACCCTCTTTATGGCCCCCAGGGCTTGTCCCTCACCTCTGATGGTCATGTGGCAGTGGCAGACTCTGGGAACCACTGCTTCAAGGTCTACCGCTACCTACAGTAGAAACCTGACACCGCCATCTTCACCACAGCAAGCACTGACAACGACACAACCAATGTATTCCACAGGGTGCAATGACCTTTCCAATGCAGCCTTTTGATGTGCACATCAGCTGTTCTCCTGGATATAATTAAGTGTCTGAGTTTACCCTCCTTTTGATGTGTATTGAAGGTTGTTTTTGGATAATGTAGCATCCTTGGGACAAGTAATGGACATAAAGCTATAAACAGATTTAGAGAACTTTCAAAAGCTTTTTTTTGTCTTGTACGCTGTTGATGGTATTATTACACGATACTTTATTTGAGACCGGGCAGGGTAGGATATAGAGTGAAGTATTACATGAGCCATAACTTGTTCAATTGCATGACCTTTTATTTTATCTTAATGCCTAGCCAACAACACAGTGTACACATCGGTTGCTTTTCTCATAAACTAGTTAATGCTTACTGTAAAATTAAAACGGCGCTACGCTTCTCCAGTAAGGAAATATATAAAATGTTTTATTTACTGACTACTCACATAAAGATATCTCCACCATCCGTGCATTGATTTGCTGTATGTAATGTATATACATAAATGTATATTGTGTATATTAGATCACTCCGTATGTATGTGCTATGATTTTGAAATACGCAGCCTTTTGGTTATACAGAGAACAGCAGTCAAGGATTCTAAACGTGTTTATGGCAGCTGTTAAAAAAGTGTGCTTTCCAAACATACCCAGCACATGCTTAAATGAAGTGTCATATTTATTGCTAATGTAAGCAGCACAATATTTGTTTTTGTTAATCTCTATTGTTTTAAAAGGGGAAAAAAAAAAAAATGGGGAAAAAAAAGGCTATTTATTTTATTTTATACACTAGCTCAGCATTTAAAAATTATTTTTCTATATTGATGTGATTTTTTTTCTTCTTTAGAGCTTCACACTTTCCGTAAAAAAGGACATTTCATCTTTCATCTTAAATCAGGAGTCAGTATCTCCACATATTTGGAACATTTTGATCGTGTTATTGCACACGAGCGTCTCTCTTTTCAAAACTACAAACCCATGTTTGATTTCTAAGTTTCCCTTTCTTAAATATGGGCTAATAGATATTGTTTTGCCTTTTATTTATTAAAGTCCTAACGGTTACAAACCAGAAATGAAACACATATCTCAGGAAATCCATCCGAATTAGATTAGCATGCCAATGGAAAAACGTCAATACTATAATTTATTTCTTTATTGTTGATCAGCTTTAAAGAGAGACATTGGCAGCTTTGAGATAAAACTGTTATTCTGTGCACATATACTTTGGATCCAAGACCACAACAATGAATGGGATGGAATATGAACCCCGTTTTACAGTGGGCTTTCACATAGGAACCAGTTACAACTAGGAATGATAGTTTATTAGATGGCATTTGCCAGCAAACTCATCCACGCTTTAGAAAACACTCGCCTATTATACTGCTATCTAAGAAAACGCTTTTACATCTGAGTTTCTGCCTGCACTAGCCATGATTTTCAAGTAGAAACCTGTACCAGTAGAGCTGTTGGTGCTCTTGCTCCCCCTAGTGTTCATTCTGTGTAATGTCATGAGAAAATCTGGTGCCACAGCAGAATAGAGACCATGGTGCAGGAAAAACACAACTTCCTGGTCTGAAATAATTACCCACAGCACTGTGCTAAACACTCACACACCAACATTCACAATCCCAAGTGTCGAGACTTTCAGACCTACAGGATGTGACCTGATTTCACCTTATGAGACAACCAGGAAGCTGCTGTTTTCCGTGCACCTGATCTGTTGTTTGACTTGTTGCCAATCAGAAGCCCAGACATCTTTCAAGAGTCGAAGGCTCCACCTTTTCAGATGTTTCTGAAGCATTTTACCCTATGCTGTGTCACACCAATACAAACTGTTGTGTTTTCTTTATGAATATGCACTGGTAATAAAAGCACATGGTTTACTGACTCGTTGTATGACTGATGTTATGCTTGACTAGATTTGGATGTTTCTAAATGTGCTTGTAAAACTAAAGTGAAATAGCTTAAGTAAGCACAATTTAAAATGTTATTTAAAATTCTAAAAATAACATCAATTGCACTTCAAATTGAATGCATTATTCAAGGATGTAGCTAAAAACGAATTTCATCCCCTGGCACGTAAACAATATAACATGTTCTAAACATTCTAAACAATACTGTATGTTATGTAGATAGTAACATGATGCAGATGATATTTACAGAACAGTTGCAGTTGTTTGATTAAGTAATAATTGTTGAAAAGGTCATATTGATTATTGCATTTCTGATTGTTCTTTACCTTTTTGCCACCATGGAAATAATACAGATCTAGGTACATCATGATATGGTGTGGGATTTCCATTTTGGGGGGTTTAAGGTATAGATATATTTATAGATTTCTATACAGCCTTTTCTTTTTACAATGTTTTAAGGAAAAGCTTTGCATCTATTACAAACAAATGGGATAATTGTTCAAAGAAGCTTCAAGCTAAAACATGTGTTTAATCAAAAAACAAAACTTCTTGAAAAATTACTTTATTTGCAGACCATGCTGTGCTTCTGGTCTATGTTACAAATACTTACATCACATACAGTATGCATTTGTTTTAACAGTAACCATTCCCAATACATCCAAATGGTATATTTATAGGTAATACATAAGTATATACATACATACATGTGCATACAAAAACTCAGGACGCACTCAAAGCATTAGAGTGGAATAAAAGAACCGCAGTACATTGATACAGTGTCAAACCTAGATACACAAGCAAATGTAAAATGTGCGCTGAAAAGAATCATACTTGGGGTAAACATTTCATGAAGGTATGATTTCACAGGTTGCATAGAATTGTATTCAATTTCAAAATAAAATTGCAAATAAACTTGACATTTATAGAGTAGTGATTAGAGTCTATCAAGGATATACAGTAGTATGAGGTAATCAGGTGTTATGGCAATCCTGTGCCTGCATCTGGGAAACTAAAACGTATACATAACCTGTATATGTTTATTGTACATGGAAATCTGAATTACATTACAATTAGAATTTGAGAATAATAGGTTCAAACTAAATCATAAAGGGAGAGGTAAAGATATTATGATTTGTTTCTGCACTAAATGACAAGCACACAAAAATAAATAGATACATTTCAAAGTGATTGATAGGGGGGAGGACAGCAGTTCTGAATGTATGATGATGAGTCAAGGTAAAACAATGAATTCCCTTTACTGTAAGTATATTGACTAATTGTGTTGTTGTGTAAATTGATTTAAAAATGTAATAGTTTAGAGTGAAAATGGTTCCTGTTGGAGAAAGTGGATCTGGAACCGCTATTATAGTTCACTGTACATTGCAGACCAGCTGTCTTGAAAGTCAAATCATAACTACAGACTCTAACAGTTTTACTTTTCTTTTTTGATTTAGTGCCAAGTGTCAATTATACGTTTTAAAGATAATACTAAATATTAGAGGGGAGTTAAAATGTGGCCATTGATAAATACTGTTGTTCAGGGGATACAGTGTAAAAAACACACTAATGGAAATACAGTAGATTAGACACATTTGCAACAACTCCATTCAAATCAGCATTTTGACTTATTTTTACAATATAAAAACAAAACAAAATGAAATGCATGCTAAATCATGAACACAACAAACAAATATGAAACATTGTTTTTCACTTTGATGTCTTACTGATCATCACACAGGACAAATCATAACGTACAACATAAAACCTCAAAATGATGTGATTTCTTAGGCACGCACTGAATCTAAGGACAAATCATTCTCTATAAGAACAGACAGGTTTAACCAGTGTAAGCAGACTGTGGACAGTGTCTCGATGCAGAAAATCAAACATACAAAGCCTGCTGTTAACAACTGCATTATCTGTTATATCCACCGTCTCGTGACCTGCTCAGTAAAACACCAATTGCCATCCAAGTTAAGAGGCATCTTCTGTAGCACCTTTGGAAACGTAAAAACACCTTTTTGGGATCAAGTGGCATAAAAAAGCAAATCAATAAGTGAGTGCTGAAAACACCCTTAGAACCTTAAAACAGCCGCTAACAAAGTCCGTCTCTAAGTGAGTGTCCCAACAATTTCCCAGTTGTGGAAGTGATGCAGTATTTCAAGTAGATTTCTGAATAGAATCAAAGCTCTTGTATTTTGTGTTGCTTCACACACAATCTTCAATCTTTTATCTAAATGTGAGGCACTTGCAAAAGAAAAATATTAACGGTAACTCTCTATCATCAGTCTGTTAGACCTCTGAGCTGTCACTGATGGCTTGTGTCATCATGGGCTCTGCGCTGCTGGACTTCTTGGGTACATCTTTCTTCACTCGCTTGGACCGCACCAGTAGCACCACAACGATAATGATGAGCACCGTGAGGAGCAGGCCCACAAAGACCCCAATGATCAACACTAGTCCGTCATCACTGTTGTCCTTCTGGTTGAGTTCACGCGGGATGATCCCTTTGGTGAAGATCTCTCTCTCTGGGCTCGTCCTCTGCTGGCTGCTGCGATCCAGCGCGATGTGGAGGATGTTGGTGCCGCGGTTGTTACTCTGACCAATGTCTTCTATTACGTCTGGCACTTCGTTGGCTGATCTTCTTGCTCGATGTTGACCCTTTGGAAGTAGACTTGTTTGCTGGCTCATTACATGGTACTCAAGGCTTCTCTTACCTATGCCACGGTTAGCGTTATTCCGAGAACGGACAGTGTAGATGGTGTGAATAAACCATTCCCTCCCTGCAGACACCTGAAGAGAGTAACAGTTATAGTTAGAAAATATTATATACTTTCGATTTTCAGAAAATCTGCTGTTTTCTTTATCCTTAACTAATAAAAGAAAAACACCATGATATACTTTTACCACTTTTAAAAATGCAGCTGCTGTCAGTAATGCTTGTTTGTTGTGGCATTTTTTCCGTACTAGTTTATATCTAGCCAACTTATCATGCCATCTCAAACTCAATGTGTGCCTTGTGCAGTTACTGTAGAATAGAGTTAAAGAACACAACTTTTTCAGCCATTGGAAAAAACTAATCTTTTTAAATAATACCCTTTCCATCACTGTCAAAATATAAGTTATATAACACCTGAGCCATAATTAGTGTGCTCAGTATGTGTGTAATGTTTTTATTTGTTTATGTTTGTTTCAATCTCATTTCATCTCATTGTGTTATAAATATCTAAAGCTTCTATAAGCTCTTTAGCGTTACTTAGCTCCCTTTACAATCTGTGCTGTGTTTGGTTTTATATTTTTAGTTTCTACTAGATTGCTGAATTGCAATAAGGTTTCCACGCAGATTGTCAGGTCATTGAATTTTTTTCTCTCGCCTTGATAAGAAAACAAAGTGAAAAGTCAGAGAAAAACAAACATGTTTTTAGGTTACTTTCTATGACCCTTGAACAGTATACATACTTTTTATCTTGCTCTTTTCACTTGCTCTTTACACAGCAGGATGCCAAAAATGTAAATTCAAGCACAATCATAACACAAACTAGGATGCATTAAGGATTTGAGAATAAGGACGCGGGTGTGTGTGCTGAATGTGTTTGTTGTGCTTAACATTCATACTGACCTGGAAGAGAGCTGAAGAATCTATCCTGAAACCATCTGACCCAGGTTGTCTCACTAGAGCTAAAGCGCCGGGGTCATCCACCGCAAGGAAGGTGTTGAAAGCTACATTACCAAATGAGCGGGCCTGGGTCTCTGGCTGGGCCTTGTCCTGGGGTGAAGGATGAAACAGGAGAGAATATTTAGATTAAAATGGACACAAAGCCTGTGTGATAAGGCTGCTCGATTATGGCAAAAATCATAATCTCGATTATTTGGGTCAATAATTGATATCACGATTATTAAAAACGATTATCCATTTACTTTGAAAACATCAATTTATTGAAAAAAACAGTATGTTTTTAACAGTTGATTATGTTGTTTTCATAATCGTTGCATTCTAAAATCGTAATTGCGATTAAAATACGATTAATTGAGCTGCCCTACTGTGTGAAATGATGAGATATAATGTTTATACTTACAATTATCTTGAATCTATAGAGAAGAGAGGGAGCATCTGCCAGACAGCCAAACTCAAAGTTGCCGGGGTTGTATTTAGGGACATATCCATCAGCTCCAGTACACAGGAACACTTTCTCTATGCTACAAATAAAGGAGTCGCCCAAGTTCTGCACTGGATCCACCATCACTCGGCCGTAAATTGTATCACCTAAAGGAAAGATAAATACAAAATGTTATCACTGCAAAAAGCCTGTATATTAAAAGTTGTACTGGAGCAAGTTTTACTTTGAGAATAACATTCAAATGCCAGCAAAAATGACTCTCTCATTCTTGGCAAGAGGAGCTTTCTACACTAACTTGGACAGCGGCTTGAAGGATTTTTCAAAGACATTCAAGATGTTGTTGGAAAAAATTAAATCCAGCTCATTAGCTTGTTTGTAGAAAAGACATGAAAGTGGTCAAAAGGACACTTCACGGACGCCTCATTTTCCTTCAAATGTATGCTGTTTGGTCAGATAGGGAACATTTTTGCTAAATCAACAGAAATATTCATTACACAGGGATTCTAGTTTGATCTATAGAATGATCTACACGTCCAAGGAGCAGTGTAATTTACACACGGCATCTATTGCACGTCTGTCCGTCCTGGGAGAGGGATCCCTCCTCTGTAGCTCTCCCTGAGGTTTCTCCCATTTTCCCCTTTAAACTGTGGGGTTTTCTCTGGAAGTTTTTTCTTGTACGATGTGAGGGTTTAAGGACAGAGGGTGTCGTATTGTCATACTGATATTCTGTACAAACTGTGAAGTCCACTGAGACAAATGTAACATTCTGAGACTGCCAAGGCACACANTACGATGTGAGGGTTTAAGGACAGAGGGTGTCGTATTGTCATACTGATATTCTGTACAAACTGTGAAGTCCACTGAGACAAATGTAACATTTGTGATATTGGGCTATATAAATAAACATTGATTGATTGATTGATAATGCATTTTCAGTCGGTTTTACTACTTTTTGTTTATGTGTTTTATAATCCATAAGCTATCAAAAATATGTTATGACTACATGTTAGGCCTTACCCTGGGAGAAAGCAGTATCACTCTCCTGTCCAAAGCCCATGGAGCCGTCGGAAAGCCAGAGCGTCTGCTTTGAGAGTAAGATCATCTGTGTGTTCAGACTGAACTCAGCAGCCACCGGGTCGCTAACCTAGAAGCACAAGCACACACACAAGCCATGTTAGAGACAAAGCCAAGCAACGCTTCTTTCTTCCATCATTGTCAGTGGGATACTTTTGTTTTTGTTTCATTTTAAATTTTTTGGTAAGGCAGTAAAATATCTTTTAAGACTTTGGTCTTTGATAAACTTTGACGCCAATTTGTTAGTATATCTGGGCTGAGAGCATTAATTATTTGTTTGGGTGGTTAGATTTTGGCATCATAATGTGTAGCTGGACACATGGCTCTCCATGTGCCTCTGAATATATTAAAAATAACGATGTTGATTAGAGATCTGTTCCTGTATGCGTAACGGAGAAGAGTTGCAGTTTTACGAGCACTTAATTAGTTGGAGTGTGTCAGGAAAACAGATAGAGGCAAGAAAATAAATGGCTTAATAGGAGTCTAGAGATGTGGTTTACAGGAAGCAATGAATATTGGAGTACGCATAAATTGATAAATTCAATCATGATGTCAGGTCTTTTTGTTATTAACCAATTCTCCTTATTTCATTTATTCCTGTCAGCCAACCCTCTACGTTTCATAGGAAGGCCTTTAAATGCTCAGTATTTGAACAAGTAGTTTAGACTCCACTGCACCTAATAAAAACATGTTTTTATTTTGTGTAGCTGAAACAATATATGTTTAGACTGAGATATATACATGTTATATGAATCAAGGTCACTCTTGCTTTAAGGCCAGATTTACTGATTCCCAACACTTTGGCCAGTAAGTTAAATACCTTTGGGTTATTTTTGGAATCCATTGCTTTACTTGATTTGTGTTTTATCACTTTGAAGAAAGACATTTTGTATTTTGGGCATTTTGTTTAGAGTAATGGAGTTGGAAACATCTTGTGTAACTTTAAGTGAACACTACTGCTATGTTATTCTGAAGTTAATAGGTCGGGGGGTGGGTGGTTAAAACATACATCTCAGGGGTTTTAAAAGGCAATTTCCTTTTTTAACAAGGTATTGGTATCTCAGAAGCTCTCAAATTGTATGTCTATTCCCTCACACCATTCAATAAATAAATCCAGTTTTTTCCTATCTAATTTTAGATGAGGAGGAGTCACCTGCTGGAAGCGGATGTCCATGTCGAAGGTAAGGGGCTCTCTGGGGTGGCAGACAGGAGGGATGTTATACTCCAGGTTTGGGGGAGATATGCAGGGGATAAGCTTCAACGTGTACGTGCCAGAGTAGTCGCGCACCTGAGAAGGAAAACTTTGTTTAGTAAGAATCAGGTGTAAAAATATTCAAACTGGTAAAACAAAATGTCTACTTACAGCAAAATCAGAAACAAATGTCCACTGCTGGATGGGCTGGTTGTACGTCGGCTCATTCCTCACAAGACTGAGGTTATAGGTTATACCAGGGTGGTCCGGACACATGACCATAGAGGTTAGAGGTGAAGCTGACAGAGAAATACATCCGTTAAAGCATATGTGGCATGCTCAGTTGCAAAGTAAATTACTGCACCATCAGGAACTAATGATGAATGTGACAAAAAATGCATTCTATCTTTAAATGAATGGTCACAGATGAAGCATGAATATAGAAGCTGAGTAAACCCTACAGTACCTTACACACAAAATATTCTACACCAAGAAACCTGTTGCCTTTTAACTTTTTGAAAATGAATATGACATGCTATAAAGCACAATCTAATTAATACTTTAAACACTGCAGTTAAACCCCTTTTTAAATGACATACTCTACCTGGATGTGCAAAAACAAACAGGCCTCTGAATCGAGCCTCAGTGCGGAAGTTGACTACTAGTCGTCCTTGTCCATTTATACGCATACTGGTTGGGTACAGGGCACCTGCAAAGACAATCACAGACAGATTTAAATCGGCAACTTAACTAATTTAAAAGTGAACATGACATATTTTTTTATATTTCCTAATTTAAAATTGCAAACTACTTGTACCTTGTAGTTCAGCTTCTGGTGGGCTACCGATACCATCCCTCCATAAGATGGCAGTGTCGTACACAAATGTGAGCTTCATCTCTGACTGCAAGTCAAAGTGCTGCCATCCTCCTGCTCCAACAGGGGAGTGGAAGACATAGGAGACGTAGAGCGGGACTCGTAAAGTCACATAGGACTGGACCAAATTCAACACCTGCAGGGACAACCAATATGTTGTGTGAGAGCAAAGCCTTAAAATCATACTTCACAGATTAATTGAGCCTTTTCTTAGGGGTAATAGGTGTTAAACACCCTGAATAAAGTACATATACAATCCCTCTGAATATAACAAACAATATATTCTACCATTATGGCTGATTTAAGAAAGTGTTGTTGTTCAAACTTGACAACACATGTGATGGGAAACTTTCCTGGGATATCATTCCTATAATGGTAACATCAGGCATTAGTAAATTCAGCTGTTGTTCTAAAATGTGTAAGATTGAATGTAATCTCTAAGTGGTAATTGACTTAATCCATTACAAATTAAGTACTGACATGTTTATCTTTTAGCTTTCTTTTCATGTCAAATTGCAAATAAAATGTGTCCAAAACATATTGTACAGCAGTAATCTACTAACATTGCAAAATACCGCACTACAATAATATCTGCACTTTCCTCTGACCTGTGAGCGGTACCTGCCTGCACTGGCTCTGTGTTCATGTGGAGACGTGCCTACGCCTCTGGGCGCTGAGGGCTCAGGCAAATGATTTGGCCTCCTGACACATCCTGCTGGGCCTTAATAGATTCCTTTGGTCCTGTTAAGCTGGGCACTAAGCCCTACACTGTGACATGACACTGGCCCCTGGCCCTCACAGGCAGCCTGCCCACTTAGAGGAGCACTCAGGTCACAGGAGCACCCACAAACAAAGGCACCCTGTTTTCCCCAATGATCCTGCCTCCCATATCCTGAAAGTGAGCCTGTGATGCCCCTGTGTATGCATCTCTATACACAGTCTTTTGCTCTGTTCAGTAACCATGGCAACAATACACTCCCATAAAGAGATGTATAAGAGCTGAATGTATACAATATACATACATATTTAAAGACAATGGGGACAGACTCTTTTTTTTTTCTTGGGTTGTTTGTTCTTCAGGATTGCAAAACTACTCCTCATTTGCAAAACCTGCTTTTCTTTTATATGTTATTCGATTATCTCTGATTAGTTTGGCCACTAATCAATGAAGACCTGGGTGCTGTGCTTACCATTTAATGCAAACTTTCTGCATTACGTTTTTAACCTCAGGGTACATGTTATTAAACTGGCAACTGTCTGCCTTCTTGTCAAGACACGTTTATTACTGTCACATTCTCATTTACATCACATGGCTATAGGCTACACAGTTCCACTTGTTGGGAATGTTTGTTATCACCTGGGTGATGCCTTTTGTTATTCAATTTACCTTAAGCCATGTTAAATGACAAACTGGCAGTTATTATTAAAAAATGTATACAATCTTATATACAGTAACTTGAGAGCCAATACCTATTTGCCATTGCTGTAGGGCTTTAATTAATAATCCTCAGAAGTGAGTGTACTGGAGGTTTTCACCATGATGTTCTCATGCACTCTTACTGCCCTTCTTTATCAACACCCTCCCTTGATTAACAGCAAGTCAACTAACGCTGGGTTTCCAGGGTGAATGCAAATATTGAAGGCCGAAGGTATGTGCGCCGGACAGAACAGAGGGCTTGAAGATGTCCTCTTTCCAGCACTGCATTTCACTGATGCTACAAAAAAACACATTGTACACATAGCGAAACCGAGGAATACAGATTTGTATGAGGCTGCTGGTTATTGACTTGCCACTTTAAGAGGACAAATAAGTGGAAGCTGGGTGGAGCAGACTGTCAGGTTAGTCATTACTACAGAGGTTAACACAGGTCCCTGGACACTAATGGATGACTTCTCTACAGGCTTGTATTTACTTTAGGATCACTTAAGGAAAACCAAGTGGGCAAGCAGGGTTTTAATAAGCCTGTAAATGATTAATTAGCACTGAAAATCTGGGAGGATTTTGAAATGAAAATTGGCAAGACTAGAATGGACCAGTAACTGTTTACATTCCTATCCTCAAGGTAGTCTGAAGCTTTATTTAACTGCCTCCTTGCTCCTCATGTCTTGAGGTGACAAAAAAGGGTTAGAGGTGAGCTAAAGCTCAAAGGTAGGGCTGCTTACCTGTCCATCAGTCCCAATGGTGCCTCCACAGTCGCTGAGTAGCTCAGACATGTCGTAGTAGCTGGTGAACTCCCACAGACAAGCCTCCAGGTTGAGGTTTCTGTAGAATCGTAGTGTACTGGATCCCCTGAGGGAAGGGCTGTATTGGTAGGAGGACGTCTCGCCGATCACTTCTGGATTTTTAGTGGCTTCACTAAGGAAGCCGTAGCGAGTCTTGACCTCAGTGTAGTCCAACAAATTGGAGCAGCGGTGGTTTCCAACGCGGGTACCGTCGGGGCTCAGTGTCAGCTCAAAGTTAGACAGGGCTCGGGTGGAAACTACAGGCAACATACCTGAGGCAGGACACACATGAAGAAGTCAGGAAGTGGAAGCATTGGAATGTAAGATTTACAACTTAGGGAAAGTAACAGTAATATATTGATTGATGAGTGACAAATAGAGCCTCCCAGCTCAAGAGTGGTTTCAAACCAACAACCTGTCTTTTTATAATTTCACTGATAAAAATGATTTGATCTGCTGTGCTTACCATCAATGTGGGGCATGGTGACAGTCAGTTTAATGAGATTTGGGTGATCTGTTTCTTCCATTCCAGTGTATCGCAGCTTGGCCGAGAAGGGCTCGGCCCCCACTGTGCCGGCAACACGCGGCTGGCACATTCCTGCAACCACGGCATACACAAACAAACATCAAACGTTTTGTTCCCCTAACACTTCTACTCGAAAATGATTTTATGTGTCAATGTTTTGTCGGAGCAAGGACAGCAAGGAGGGAAAACGCAGCCAACAACTGCTTATCGCGTTGAGCCATATCCATCGACTACACATTTCAAGCTAGAAAATAAGTTGCACTCACCATCATCTATGCTGATGGACACTATGGGGCTACTGAGCTCTAGACCTTCATCCCCGTTAGAGTTCACGCCCCTGGCAGCGCACTGCACCCTGGAACCAGCCTGAAAATAGACTGAATCCAGAGTGATAAGCTTTGACGAGGTGAAGAAGGTATCGAAGTCAACTTCCCTCATAGAGCTGGTTACGCCATCTGACCCGGTAGGGGCGCTGACCAGCCAACGATAATGAGTCAGGGTGTTGTTGATGTTCTCGCTTACACAGATGGAGCCTGTTTTGTCGTAGTCTGGGAATTTGGGGTTACAGGCCTGGGAAATGGAAAGAATACATTGGGCTTGTGAGTAAAAATGTATCCAAAAATCACTGCAGCAGCCAAAGTCATTCTGTATTCTCCTGATGAGCTTTCAGGGTAGCTGATAATTGAGCAACGTCTGCACATCTGCTAAATACTACCTCATTAACAGTATTTACTGCCAGCTGGAGTGACATAAAGTCTTGTGAAATAAATAATTTGCAGTTGAAATGACTGAAATGTATGCCCCCAAGTAGTTATTGGGCTATCACTTTGGACGTACAGTCACGCAAATGACGGGGTATCCGGCCACAGGTGAAGAGTCCCTACTCCTGTCGATGTCGTCGTAATGCAACAGAGAAACCACTCTGGGCACAGAGGGGAAGGTGACATCCGCCATGCTGTTGGTCTCCTCGATATAGATTATGGCTTTGCTCATCTGTTGATTGACAAGCAGGGGCAATCAAGAGGATGTTAATGGAGAAGGTAGTTACAGACTTGGCACTTAAATTATATGTTAATTTGGCTCAATGTTCACCTTTGTCTCTGCCACCATGTTTTCATCAGGCTTCAGGTGCACAGTGAATGCTTCCCTCATTTCTCTGACAATATCATATAAAATCTCCACCTCCACATATTGCTCAGTGATACCCTGTTTGAACACGATTTCTGCAAAAAGAGGAGATAGTTGATCAAATCTTTACTCACAAAGAACATGCTATTACGATAAGTGCCTAGCTTTATTATTTACCCTCAGAGATGGGATGGTAGTCCTCCCCAGAGGTGGCAGATCCATCCTTGGTGTGAACTCGGACAACAGACACCTTGGAGTGGTCTCCTACACGCAGCACTGGGATCCTCACCACAGACACTTGGCCAATTTCCTTTGGCTCATTCACACTGAATTTGGTCTCTCCAAACCTAATAATCGCCTCTGAGAAAGCATAGTTTCAAAATGCTAGTAACTCTTACATTTCAGCCTACCACATATGAAAGCCCCTGTGTATGTCACTTTCTGAATTTGTTGCCTTAAGATTAATAAAAAGGTACTGTTGTATATCTGGAAAAATAGCAACACTGACCAAACATTTATTAAAAAAATAAGTATGACATTGGGATAGCTGAAAACTGGGTGGCACATTAAACTCTGGCCCCGTTATGATCATATAAATATTCTGCACCTTGTGGCATTTAAAAATAACTTTTTTAAGTACAACAAAACCAAGCATCCTTACTGTCTCCATCGTCTTTTATCTTGATGAGCGTTTCATTCTGACTTCCAATAGATGCTCCAAATGGAGATTCACTCTTGGGGCTTCCAAGCACAAGACGTAGCTCTTCTTCCTCCTCATGTTCTGTATCATCAACTAGCACCAGTACACAAGTCTTTTCAATCTCTCCTGATAAAGGAAAAGTGAAAAATATATTGAATGTCTAAATGTGTCTTGTTAAACATAAATTATGCAAATGGGGTGTATTATGTTTGTTTACACCACCTGGTAAAAAGGTGATTATGGAATCATCCGTGTTGGGCCTCTCATTGAAGTCCATCATGACCTGGGCTGTCCCCTGTCTGCTGTAACAGCGCACTGTGGACTTGTAGCTGATGTCTCCACTACGGTATACAGTAGCTGAGATCTGCCCTGAGTTCTCATTGCACACATACACAGCATCACGGAACTGCACCTTTGGCACTAGAAGAACATAATTCAATCCATAAATTACCATCGGAAATGCAGCATTATCGTCTTGAATCACTTACAAACCAACCAAGCTGTTTACTCACAGTCTGAGACTGAGTCATTGATGAGTATGGTAGTCTTGCTTGGCTCCCCCAGGATCCCGTTCATGGGCATTCGGAGTACCAATTCAAACTTCTCGAGCCCCTCCAGCACCGGCTGGCCCAGGTCATCCAGGACGGTCACACGGAACGTCTGCATGGTGACCCCTGGTGCAAAGTCCAGATTCCGGCTGATCCCAACGTAATCCACACCAGCTGCTCCACAACACAAAATAGGTCAGGAATGTTTCCGATAACATACTGTAGTGCTTATGGGATATAGTGGATACAACACAAATGGACTCTGCATTTTATCTTATTCTACAGCAGTTCTCATGTTACTCCATAATTCATTTGCAAGTGTCAGGCAGCGAGCAAGATGAAAGGAAATATCCTGCATTCTGACAAAATAACGCCTTCTATCACGTGGTCAAAAGCCATGAACAGTCGGAATTTGTTCCGTGATTAAAAGAGAGGGTGGATAACTGAAACTGGATATCTCCCTGAGCGCAAACAGGTTATTCATTTGCCATTCTTTGAAGAGTCTGAGTATTGAGCGCTCACCCTTTGCCCGCAGGGTTTTTTCATGTACTTATGACCCAGATATATGTATAACTGTTGGCATGCATTTCTACCATGCTGCATATGATTAGTTGCTAGTTATGTTAACAGTTAAGAAGCAGACAAGAGCAGAGATGGTAAGAATATGTGCACGGGGAAAAGACTGCCTCGGGGCAGAAGATAATGGGGACTGTGGGGAAAGCTCGAGGAGATAGCGACTGGTCTTGGGTCCAAAGCACATACAAGTACGACGGATGCCTAGAAAGTGAGGGCCAAACAAAATAAGCCTCGCCTTCATTCCTTCTAATCTAAAACAATGTTTACTTTCCCCAGTTCAACTACCAACATATCCAGCTTTAACATCACTATGAACCCTTGAGCTCAGGAAAACAAAGAGTGACAGGTTGATGATTTAAGTCTATCATTTATCTGTAGTTTACATTTATCTAAGCACTAACTAGCTAAAGCTGTCATAGAAAGGCACCTCATAGAGACACGTACCCTCAGCGGAGACGGGATCTGTCTTTCTGGAGCGCACTGTCACGGTTCCTCCTTTGGAAAGATCTGTCCCCGTCCTCCATACCTGCACCTCCACGTAGCCGTCACTCTCATCCACGTGGTAGTCTGTGTTGCCAAAGTAGAAGATGGGAGCTGGGGAAAAAACAGAGGATGGCATGAAGGCGATGTTTAAAGCACACAGGAGGACCAACTTTATCTGTTTCACAACAGGATATGTGAATGTCTGTTGTAATTGCTGAGTTAAATCTGTAATAGCTAGAATACTCTGTAGGTTTACCTCTGATTACAGGAGAAATTGAAAGAATGTTTCCATCAAAACACCAGCAGATAGTCCACACTGTAATTAGAACCCTTAAACAACACTTTCTAACTTCCTGAAATTATGTGTTGGGAGGATTTCTACATCTGTAAGACAAAAAAGCGACCTGAAGGCAGACTTCAATTTGCTGGTTTTGTTGTGGAGGAGCCTGTTGGTGGGGATGACTTTGAAAGTGATGGGTCTGAGGGGCAGACAGGAGGCCTGGCAGGAGGTCTGGGGGATGTAGAGCTCCATGTGCCAGCCCAGGCCTGCCTGAGTGTAATTAGTGTTCCTAAGAGCTGAGATTCCACTGCAGCCAAACTCACCCACTATTATTCTATTCAACCCTTTCAGAGGCTGTTTTCCACTATGTCAGGCAGCTGTGAAATGGTTGCTTAAGGACCTGGACCTCTGTTGCATACAGTATACAGTATCTGGTTTAGTGAGTGCTGTAAGACCTGCAATCAAATAGAGACTATTTCTGGATTTGAACAGCAGGGAGTCAGTCATAGTCCATTAGAGAAAAAGCAGCAACAAGCTGAAAGCAATATAAAGAGGACGTTATAACTTACAATATGCATACATTCTCACACTTGAGCAAATACATTATTGCTGTGATTACTAATGGGAACAAGCCACTTTTGAGCAGTATACACCTTGTGCTTTTGAAAGCAACTGTGACCAAATCATGAATAAATTAAGTGAATGCTGATGGCCATGGGCAGAGTTGTGGTTTCCATGACAATGAAAGCCTGCATACCTACAAAACAACACGTAGTTGTTTCTCATCTCGTAGTGTAAAGCTAAGTGAAGGGGGGAATGATGTAGAACTGAGCAGTGAATGCTTTGAACAAAATAAATCTATGCGGACGTAACTGCCGGATGATTATGTTATCTAACAAAATACAAGAGGAGGAAAAAAGTGGTTCACTGTCGACAGTACTGCCAGGGACAATAACTGATATTGATGTTTATAATTCTGCATGATATCATTATAATCCTAGCCTCAGATGATGTTGCATATTTGTATGCATTCTGCTATGGTATTTACTGCTCTATAATAACAAGATAAGACTTGTTCTAAAAAGGAAATAGTCTTTTTAGACAAAGCCTTGGGATTTGTGGTTCTCAGAGCAGCCATCTCTGAGGTTGAAATAATATTTCCCCTAAGAGCAAGCAAAGGACAGACAACTTTTATGCTTTAATCTGTCCTGAGAGCACAGCCAGAACAATGAGTGCTGCATCAAGAGGTTTGCAGCTGCCAGCATTTCCCCCCACAGAGAAACCAAACAAAGATGGTTTTGGCTGCCTGCACTGGGTCCCCAACAGGAAGAGTAATCAGATCTAGTAGCCTGAGGTTTGCAGCCAGGAACTCAGGCCCTGTTGTACCAGTCCAGTAATCAGATAAGGTTTGTGAAGCAGACAAACTTTGAGCTTCAAAGAGCTACGGCCCATTAACTGAAAGGTAAACCACTGGCTCCAGCCTTCTACGCCACACAGTATGGAGTTACCTGGATTTAAGTGGACTAATCCAGATTTAGACCTACCTGTTATGTAGATTTATGTAAAGTGTATTTTTATTTTATGACTTTATTGTCGATAATACTGGAGTTACTCGGTTTACTTTTCGGAAATTCAAAATACGAAACAATTCACAAATAGGAGCACTTTACGTATTGGCATTATGTTGGTTGATTTAATGTGTCATTTGCTAGAGTTACAAACAAAGGAAATGTTTTCACAGTTGCATATGTGTGAACATATAAATAAAATAAGAGCCACAAGGAGCGACACAGGCCTCCCTAAGGGGGCTTTTACACTCCCACTGACTGCTCGATTCTACTTGAACTTTGCATGACATTCCCACAGCGCTAAGTGGCTTCGTTAATGAGATTCAATTGAGCCCAGGCAAATGCTCCTCTGCCCAGTGTGCTTGACAAAACTGTCTCTCACAGCCAAAGCACATAAAAACAGCTCAATTCAGAATAATCTACACCTTTAAAAAAAAATCTGTATTTCAAAGAAGGCTTTTGATCTAGTATGTAAAGGCTCTTGATTAAAATCAGCCTTATTGTGGTTAAGTACTTTCGACATCTGTTTATATCAGATTGAGTGGAAATCCAGGTGAGACATAATGACAGGGTTTATGGGTTCCCTCTTGATTCATCCCCATCCAGGATATACTGCACACGCACAGGGCCGCCCATCTTTAAAGTGGCTCATAATCATACCTTCAAAACCAGAGAAAAATTTACAGGCAACTGACACAAGACTATAAATACACGAGTGAAGTCCTGCTGAACAAGCTTTCTCATGTCTTACAGCCCCAACCACTAAAGAAATTTCCCGGATGCAGAGACAATATCAAACAGCAATTATCTCTGCAAGAAAATACAAGTTTCCCCAAACCTATGGTACCCAAAAGTCAGAGTGGAAACTGTAAGGGTGTGAACGTTAATGTGCAGATGGTCTGCCGCTGGGAAAATAGCAGGTATTCTGAGGAAAGCAGCTGTCCGTGCATGCTACTGTTCAATTCCTGGACAGCCTGTTAAACTTAACAGTCTTGCATGCCAAAAGCTTTAGTTTTTTTAAACAATAAAATAGAAACATATGTCATGTCCCTGTTGTAAAAAGTAGTTAACTGTTAACATAAGCAAAAACGAAATATTGAGCAGCAACTACATAGTGTTTTGTGTTTATATGTGCATTACTTTAATTGTTTGTATCGTTTTGAGAAGACAGAAACAAAAGCGCGAAAGGCCATTAGGCTGTACGCTTTGATCACTATTAGCAATAGGAAATAACAATTACCACAGTCTCTTTTATGTTTGTTATTGTCCATGGCAGTTTACCTCCTCTTCACTGTTTACTTCAAATGTATGCCCTGCTGGCATTTAATATTCTTCTTGCCCATTCATATGTGGGTTATTTTATTGTATTGGCTTTATTATGCTAATTTCCAGGTTCACATTTGTATTTTGTGCCTCTCCTGTGACATGTCTCCATACTTTAATGTTAAAAAAGGGGCTTTATCTTTCTCATACTGCCTGTGCTGCAGCACCTCTTTTCACCCTGCTCTGTCTGAAACCAGAGCTCAGTGTGCTCGGATTTTTTTTCTGTTGTGATTGGTCAACCACTTAGGCTAAGGGGAGGGACATCTCTATCACTTGCAATATGTTGGAGTGCCAGCCAATAGAAGCAAGAGTGTTACATAGTGATGTCATTATGAAATGGAAGTAAACGAAGGAGTCCAATGGAGGGGTTTCGGGCAGGGTGGAGGAGTGTGTATGAGAGAGATAAAAGGGATTTTAGCCTCTGTCGACCATTTACATACACAAAAACCTATATAACACACTAAAGGAAAGGGAACCCCCTAAAAAGCACAATAGGTTTAAGGTTGAAGAACTTTTCTACATTGGAGTGTCTTCTCTGATCTCAGCTAAATGACCTGTTTGCGACCTTATAAAACACCATTATCATGAAAGTCAATACTTTGGTGTGGTGGTGCATATTTCAAACTAATTTTAAATTAATTAAATAACCCAAAACTAGGTGTTGCATATAGTACCAGATGTTTTCACAGCCCTTCAGGATCTGATACTTTGGCCTTTTGGTAATATTACGGTCTAATACAGTGGTTCCCAACCTGGGGGGCGCCAAAGATCGCAGGGGGGGTTGCCAGGCCTCAGATGATTTGAGGCCAAATATCATATTTAGACGTTTTTTTGTTGTTGTTTTTTTACATATAATTGTAACGCAATACCAACAACAAAAAAACGTCTAAATATGATATTTGGCCTCAAATCATCTGAGGCCTGGCAACCCCCCCTGCGANCACACACACACACAAATGCAGTAATTAAAGTTTCAAAGTCTCAAAATGCTACAACTACTGTCACAAACTGGATGAATGTGAAGTATTTTGTTAAAGGAGGATGAAAGCGTAATTAAGGAGCACTATTGGAGTGACTTTGATGGTTATTGGACTCAGGATTAATTCATTTGGATTCCCGCTGTATGAAGAAATTAAAGGACGGCGCGGAAGTGGAAACAATTCACAATGGGATTAAACTGTTTAAAACACATGCTCAAAGTAAGCCGGATTTTGCCGATGTGTTTATGTGNGGGGGGGCGCAACTTCCAACAGGAGTCATTTAGGGGGGCTCTTGGGAAAAAAGGTTGGGAACCCCTGGTCTAATAGATAGACAAACCCAACAACCAGCAGAGATAGAAGGTGCAGCGAGCAGACAATGATCCCTCATTCATGACCTTCCCACCCAGACTGACAAATGTGTCTGTTGTAGGTCTGCAGGGGCTAAAAGAACAGCTGTTAATAGCTGAACCCGAATGAATCTCTCTCTGACTGCGTGAAATGGAGTGCTTCAGGGATGACTTGTTTTTGTAGACTAATCCTGAAGTTAGCATAGCACTGGTTCCCTCGAGAAAAAAGCCAAGGGTTTAATCTATTGGATTTTGGATCATTGGAGAAAATAACCTCTTGGGCAAACAAAGATTTATAGTACTAACACATGTTCTGTAAAATGAAGTATTGTTAAGTGTTAAAATAGGGCAAGTATTGTTAAGTGTTAAGGCAACATTTTTTTTAAAGAATTTCAGTACTTAATTATTGTTTTATACATAAGGTAAATGTAGTAAATGCACAAAATGTATCCTACTTAATGTTTTAAATGGATATCCTGAAGACAAATGGGAACAAGTTAGAGACCACCCAGTGGGATTTTCTTGAGTTTTGGTTACCCTTTTTATCTGAGATAATTTGCAAACAAAGTTCCTTTTAAAGGCACACATAACAATTCCTGTGCCATGTTAGAGTCTGGTGGTTTTCATTTCAAACACAGCTGATTTGAATGACTCCCTCTCTGTGTGGGTGAACGTGTGCTAAGTAGAGACAATAATGTTTTGGTTGGAAAGAAAACGTGCCTTTTATTCCATGGCCCAGTTTCTACACAACAGGTTACTATTGTAGTACTCTTTAACTCATTTATTTGTAAAGACTAAAAATATTCTCAATTTAGATTCCCATAAATTGTCAGATTGACATCAGACACTTGGCAGACAATACAAGCTCCACCTCATATTGCACTTGTGTGGTTTCTTGTACGTGCTTGTACCTACTTACAGTAGGTAGGTGGCCAAGACTGTGTGAACAGGGTTCACATTGGTACATTGGTACATTGGTTCCCTGTGGCTTTTAATTTCATCATGTGAGCTACTTTGGTTTGTTGGCTTGGAAAGAAGTTGCTGACATACATTTTTGCTGATAGGAGTACTATATGTTTCTAAGACCTCTTCGCCCACAGCTTGGCTGAGCGGGTGAAACCCCTCCTGGGGAGCCTCAGCATAGACCTCTCCCTGACAGGGACAGGTGCTCGGCCAGGCACCGACTCCAATGTACACCCACCGGGCAGCTTCTGCAGCAATAGGGCTGACAAAGAAAGATGTGATGCCCCCATTTGCCTCTCTGCCATATATAATGCAGTAGAGTTAGGAAACGAACCTGGAGTGTATACTTAAATGTAATACTAAACCAGAAAAGCTACAGTTGGAGTAGGAATAAATCTCCTCCTGCCATTATCCTTTTCCAGACAGGAGATCATTCTTGTTATGCTTGCCTCAGAGCTATTTACTATTTACTTCACCATCAGCACGCAAGCCATTTCATTATCATCTCCTTCAGGGAGATATGAAGGCTTGACACCACCTTATTTCTCCCGCTCTGCACATTCCAATTATTCAGTGGATGCAGGCACCTAAACACCCCCAGCACCTAATCCAAATTATACTTTGGAGGCGTTGTTGCTCAAACTTTACACAAATTGTGTGTGTGTCTTTTCTGTGTGACACACACACACACACACACACACACACACACACACACACACACAGAGAGAGAGAGAGTTTGCACAAAAGGAGGCTGTATGTCCCTTAAAATCATGCTGTATGGGGGACCCTTGTGAGTTTGGCACTTTCTGATAACTGATATGCATAAGGAGATTTTGATTGTCACTCAGCTATCCTGTTAAAGCTAAAGGCAAAGAAAACATGATCACAGATAAAGCAGGAATACTGAGTGCAGACTGTTTACACCAGTTGTCAGTCTGAGTCAAGTTAATCCTTAGCCTGTTTCTCCTGTTTCTGCGTGATAATACACAGAGGACCTCGAATGTAGGCGCAGGCATGCCAGGAGGTTTCAAATCAGTAGAGCAAGAACATTTCATTGTATATTTAATAATGAATTGGATTTTCAAACCACACAAATTGGATTACTCAGGCAAGTCATTGTTTATATTTGCACACTGACTGACTATGAACCAGGGGCTTAAAATAGGGTATGCCCCCAACTATGAAAAGCAGAAATGCATAACATGAAGATGCTATTTATCAGTAACAGGAACATTTGACCCACTAAAATAGTAGTTCCCTTAACCATTAAAACTTTGCAATTTGTCCTTCTGAAACCACTTCTGAAGCAAACTTTTAGTTTGCTTATTTAATACTTTTGTAATATATGTGTGCTCTATTTGTCAGCCTCCGTGATTTTCAAACAGCCTTGACCTTAACCCAAACTGTAAATGACAAGAAACCGTGTTTGATGGAGTCAGACAACCATAAAAATACTCAATAATATCTCCAATCAATGAGCTCTCTGGCAGGTGTTGGACGTGCATTTTTTGCAGTATGAGAGTCAGTATCCATAAATACTGTGTTAGCACATTACTTTGTGAAACATGCTGTAAGTACTGACTGTTGTACATCCAATTAAAAACGTGTGTGTCCCAGCAGCTGTCTTGGCAGTCTTGAGTCGATACCCAGGAGCAGCGGAGGTCGAAAGAACCTGTACTCACTCTCAGGTTACACCAAGCGCTGCTACAGTTAGGAAACATTCCAAACACGTAACCTCCTCCTTCTTCAAGCAGGTCAAATCCACTTGCAGTGTGTTTGCCTCGAATCCCACAGGAGAGGAAGAGGAGAGTCACTTGTTACACAGTCTAATTTGCAGTAGCCTTTAAGGTAAGAACTCCTGAGCACAGGTTGAAACACAGGTTGAAGTACAGACTGAGACCTGGATACATTTCTTGGGAGGGGAATAAGATCATAAATATATAATAAAAATGCATGCATTGCTTAAGCATACAATTCTATAAAATGTTCAGTAGTATGAACAGAATATGAAATAGGAGACTCTCCTGGAAGCAGGAAGCCTCCAACTTAGAGCAGTTGGAGAAGATTAATATTAATCTCCATAAAGCAAGTTATAAGAATGTAAGAATGCTGAATCTAATAGTGCATCATTCATCACCCAAATTATGATGATTTAAATGGTTTTTGATTCAAGGGGAAAAAAGACTGTTCAGCAATTATGCTGGGTTTTTCAGCTCTAGCCAGTGATCACGGAGTCTTGACTTTAGAGCAGTGCTTCTGGAGATCGTCAAAGCGATAGGGAGCTGAGGAATGGCCGTCAGGTGTTAGGGAACAAAGAGGCGTCAGGAAGAAATGCGAGACTATCAGCCCTCCAGTCTGAGCCTGCAGATATGAGATAAAGGCTTTGCCTCCAGGAAGGAGTCTCACACACTCAAACGCTTTCCCTCCCTCCAAAACATTGTCAGACAAGCAGGAACCCATACAGAAAAAACATTCAAGCACACATTTCACATTTTCTCCCACACTTTTGCTGTCTGTCTGGCCACCTGCCAACTGTTTACATGTCTCTATTTGGATCAATTTGGCAAAAAATCTTGCAGTTTCATAAAAATATCAAAAGCAGTCTTCAGCTATTGTCAAAGTGCTTAAACATCACACATAACAGCTTGAACAAATACAGTAACTCCTCAAAATAAATCTGATAATACCTAGGAAAAAACACATTCACGCTGCCTGTTTCTTGAATTGAAAAACCTTTGAAAGTAAAAAAAAAAACTTGTATCTGAATTCCACACAAGGGGATTCAATAAGCAAAGCCCTTTTCCTTTCTTATGCCCGACCATTTGACACAGTATTGCATTCCTCTTCACACCTTTGAGCATGGAAATGTCATCTTACCGTCTTCCATATCGGGAATGATTGTGATTCTAGCTGCGGGGAACTCTGAGCCCAGACGGCCCCCCATGGGCATGCTGAGGGTGACATTGAAGCTTTCCTCGTCTTCATACAGAGAGTCATCAATGATCACCACGCGGCAGGATTTCTCCACCTCTCCTTTGTCAAAGCGCAGGATGCTGTGATGGTCCTCAGGCCTGGAGATGTAATCAGAGTAGGAGAGCACGGTGGTGGGCACGGTGCCTGTAGCCGAAACTAAATGGGGAGAAAACGGAATAACAGAAAGCTCAGTTAATGATCCAACCATAATACAGTAGGTTTTGTTCACATTTAATCAATAACTTAAATGGGACCTATTGTGCAAAATCCACTTTCTCATGTATTTTATAGATAAACTTGTCATCAGGAACAAAGATTCTCTCTCTTTTTGTCCTGATCCATTTATATAAAAACCTGTCTGAAAATGAGCTGATCAGATTTTGGCCACTTTATGATTTCATAACGTTTTTTTGGCTTGTGTAACAATTAGCCAATCACCAACCAAGGTAACACCCACCCACCTTATCACCTGAATCTCCTCCTAGAGCACCACTCTGTGTGTTTTAACCAAATATCTCGCAGAGGGGCGTGGGGAGTGGCCCCTTATTTTCATCTAAAGTAATAGACACAGAATCAGCACTTTTGAAACAGGGCTGAAACAGAGGGGATTATGGGATGCTGCGATGGGTGATCTGTTTGGTATTTCGAGCAAAACACTTCAGAGACATGTTTTGTATATATCTGAGACCTATAATATATTGATGAAAAACAGTATAATAGGGGACCTTTAATATATTTTCCTTGTAACCTAAAGTCCTTTCAAATTATAATTGTTAAGAGCAACTCAAGTTTTAGAGCAGAATTTATTTTAAACTCCTACAATGCCGTTTGTCTATAAATTATATCAATCAATCAATCAATCAATCAATAGGATACGGCTGTAATAGGCCTAAGGCCTTTTAGTCGCTCATAAATAAATAAGTAGATCACTGATTCTTTATTTACTATGGATGCTGGCTACAGTCACATAGTCCAAAGTGAAGGTGATGTTTGACCAGTAATGGTCGAGGCGGGATTTGAGACAGTTAA